GGTCTGTGTCGTAACGTGATTTTCCGGCTATATTCAGGCAGTGGTGGCCGGAATTTGGCACTGTGGGTGGTGGGGGCATTTTTGTCATTTTATATGTTGGGGTGTTTAATTAAATTAGTAAACCTAAGGGTTTTTTTTATAAATTTTTAAATTTTATCTAGTAATATTCTCCTATTCAACTACCTAATATTATTCACAAAATCCTATCTAAAATAATAAACCAAACGCACTCCAACATTCTACTCTATACTTAGCCCCAAGCCTCTAAGGACATCTCCAACCCACGCTATTTTGGTGTGAAAAACACCAAATAGCGTGAAACTGTTGCTCCAATTCAACGCCATTTGCTACACCAATTTGGTGCGGCTGAACAGTACCACGCCAAATCTAGCGTGATACTGTTTATACTGATTTTTTTTTAATTTGTATTTAAGTTAATTTAATTATTATTTATATTAATATTTATAATAATAAATTCATAATAATGATATAATTAAAAAAATGATGAAAAATTAAAAATAAAACTTTATTCAATGCAAATATTAAATTACAATAACTCAAAATAAAAATGAATACTAATTTAAAAATACTAAAATTAAAAGAAAATACAACATAAACTAAAATAACAATTTAGTATTCCAATAGATTAGTTCCGGATCCTGTAAGATCATCAAAATATTAGAAAGAACTAGAGTTATTTTGAGATCTTTGACCTTATTGTTGAACTTTTTTTTGCATAATTCTTGATTGATTAAATAAATGCTTAATTTTATTAAATTAGTATAATTTTCAAAGTAATTATTATTTAATAAAAATATCAATCCCAATATTTAATTAATATATATAAAAAATAATGAATAAAATAGATTAATTATTGGTTATTACAATAAAAGAAAAAGAAAGAGAATATTTTAAAGAATATTTCTTTTGGTGTAATATTTAATGCAATAAGTTGGAGATACAATAGTGTTTTATACAAAAACTCACACCAATTTGGTGCAATGGGTTGGACATGGTGGGCATCTCCAACCCACACTATCTTGGTGTGAAAGTGAAACTGCTGCTCCAATGTAGCGCCATTTGCTGCACCAATTTGGTGCGGCTGAACAGTGTTACACCAAATTTGGTAAGCATTCATCCACACCAAATTGGCGTGGTACTGTTTATACAGCAAATTTTTTTTTTATTTGCAATTAAGTTAAGTTAATTATTATTTATATTAATATTTATAATAATAAATTCATAATAATGATATAATTCAAAAAATGATAAAAAATTAAAAACAAAAACTTTATTCAATGCAAATATTAAATTACAATAACTCAAAATAAAAATGAACACTAATTTAAAAATACTAAAATTAAAAGAAAATATAACATAAACTAAAATAACAATTGAGTAATGCCATATTTACACCACAATTTTACATCATTTTTATTACATCATGACGTGACATATGCCACAACCACATAAATTCTATTATAATATTAAAAATTCAAAATAATTAAAAATTTATGTAGTTGTGGCATATGTCACATCATGATATAATGAAAATGGTATAAAAAAGTAGAGTAAATGTAGCATTACTCATAACAATTTAGTATTCCGATAGATTAGTTTCGGATTCTGTAAGATCATCAAAATATTGAAAAGAACTAGAGTTATTTTGAGATCACTAACCTTATTGTTGAACTCTTTTTTGCATAATTCTTAATTGATTAAATAAATGCTTAATTTTATTAAATTAGTATAATTTTTAAAGTAATTATTATTTAATAAAAATATCATTTCTAATATTTAATTAATATATATATAAATAATAAGTGAAATAGATCAATAGTTGGTTATTACCATAAAAGAAAAAAAAATATCCTAAAAAATATTCTTTTTAATGTAATATTTGGATGGAGAAAGCAATAGTATTTGTTTTACATCAAAATTCACGCTAATTTATTGTGAAATTTGTACCAATTTGGTGTAATGGGTTGGAGATCTACAAGTTGAGACTAACAAGCTAGGCATGGCTGTCATGTCTGAACCACGTGTGAAATCAGCCTTGTAAGGGCATCTCCAACCCACGCCAAAATGGTGTAAAAAACACTAAATTGAAGCGCCATGCCAAAATGGCGTGGCACTGTAGCACCCAATAAATTTTTTTTGTTTTTTTTGTTTTTAATTTTGTTAAGTTAATTTGAGTATTAAATTTTATATCAAAAATCACACCAAATTTGATTATTTGTATTTAATTTAATTTGATTATTATTTATAATAATAAATTCATAATAATGATATAATTTAAACAGTGATGAAAAATTAAAAATAGAACTTTATTCAATGCAAATATTAAACTACAATAACTCAAAATAAAAATTAACACTAATTTAAAAACACTAAAATTAAAAGAAAATACAACATAAACTAAAATAACAATTTAGTATTCCAGTAGATTAATTCCAGATCCAGTAAGATCATCAAAATATTGAAAAGAACTAGAGTTATTTTGAGATCCTTAACCTTGTTGTTGAGCTCTTTTTTGCATAATTCTTGATTGCTCATTTTGAAAAAACTCACGTAGGCTTGGATCGGTTATAGAATTCAAATCCTTGAATAAAATTTTGTTATCTTCTTGATATTCTACCAAAGCCAATTTTTTCATTTGGATTTCATAATTTTGTGCCCTAGCTAAGTTGCCCCGATTGAAAATAGCAGCCAGCTGTCGATTTTCTTCTTGAATGGTTTCAAAACTGTTTAAAACTTCTTTATCATTTTTCCTTTTAAATTTTGCTTTCTTCATCCCAATGGGTCGTTGAGCTGAACTACCCATAATATTTTCATCACTTATGTTTAGAGAATTTGACGACATGTCACAAGACATCGATTGGGGAGACTTTGAAGTGGGAGTCTCTGATTCTTGTGATACAAACCTACCGGTTTGCCTTTGAAATACTTCTGCGATGTTAACATTAGCTGTAAATTTTTCAATATCCTTAAATATAGGCCACACATGATCAAATTTGAAACCTTTTTTGTAACTTTTATCTTGTGCTAGTAACATTTTGGCTTGAATCATCTACAAAACAATATACATATAACGTTAAAATCAATTAGATAAAAAAAAATTAATTAAATGTAACATACTCACAATATCTTGCTCAAAAGCACCACTTGGATTCATATTTTCAATTTGACGTACACATCCCTTCAATTTGTCAATAGCTTTAAAGATCAGTTGCATTCGACATTGCAAAGATCTTTTGTTTCGAACCTGGGTGAGAAACACAAGTTTGGAACTATTGTAGTCAAGCTTAACTCGAGACCAGAATTGATCACTAGATTGGTTTATACCTAAAATCAGGTTTTGAGAAATATCAAGATAAATATGACATAGATGCATGTCTTCTTCATTTGTGTATGAAGAACTTCTTTGTGTAGTCATTTTGTAACACAAATGAAGAAGATATATGCTTTTTTTTTTTCTAAGAGGAATTAGAAGAGATGTGTTCAAAACTAATGTGTTGTATGCTCTTTTATAACATAAGTTTGAATTGAAAGCTTGAATGGACAACACATATTTTTGAGCTTGAATGAACAATACATCTTTTTGAATAAACAACAAATCTAAAAAGCTTGAATGGACAATACATCTTTTTGAATAAGCCACAAATCTAAAAAGCTTGAACGGACAATTTTTTGAATAAACCACAAATCTAAAAAACTTGAATGGACAATACATCTTTTTGAATAAGCCACAAATCTCAAAAGCTTGAATAGATAATACATCTTTTTGAATAAGCCACAAATCTCAAAAGCTTGAATGGACAATATATATATATATACATATTTTTTTTAGTATCATTTATATTAGATGTAATGTTTTTCTATATTAAATGTAATGTTTGTTCGATTAAATAAATGCTTAATTTTATTAAATTAGTATAATTTTCAAAATAATAATTATTTAGTAAAAAACAATATTAATATTTAATTAATATATACAAAAATAATAAGTAAAATAGATTAATCGTTGATTATTACAATAAAAAAATAATATTTTAAAGAATATTTTAAGGAATATTTTTTTTTTAATGTAATATTTGGTATGGAGATGGAATAGTATTTTACACTAAAATTTGCACCAATTTGGTGCAATGGGTTGGAGATGGTTTAGGGGGTATTTATCTAAGCTTATAAGCTGATCAAACTAGCTTATAAGTTCTAAAATTAAGCTGATCTGTTTGTTTATAACTGTTTTTAGCTTATAAGTTAAGCTTATAAGCCAAAAACAATAAGGGGGTGTTTGTCTGAGCTTATGAAAATTAGCTTATAAGCAACAAGTACTTATAAGCCAATTTTAGCTTATAAGCATTTGAAATTTTAAGCAATTACATGTTTGGTTAAAGTACTTATAAGTTACTGATAAGTAGTTGACGTGTTTGGTAAAATGTGACTTATAAGTACATTTTATTATAAAATGACTAAAAATGATACTACATTAAATAAGGGTATACTATGGAATTTTAAAATTAAACAAGGATAATGTGGTAATATATTTGGTCAAACTAGCTTATAAGCAGAATGCTTATAAGCCAAAAGAAAAAAGTACCTCCCCCCAACTTATTTTTTTTGGCTTATAAGCTCAAAAAAGTTATAAACAAACAGGTCAGCTTAACTTTAGAGCTTATAAGCTAGTTTGACCAGCTTATAAGCTTAGACAAACACCCCCTAAGTTAGGGATAAGGTACCTTTTTTTTTTCCTTATAAGCACTCTACTTATAAATTAGTTTAACCAAGTATATTGCCACATTATCCTTATTTAATTTTAAAATTCTATATATACCCTTATCTAATAGAGTACATTTTTTAGTTATTTTATAATAAAATATACTTATAAGCTATATTTTATCAAACCCATTAACTACTTATTAATCATTTATAATTACTTTAACTAAATAAGTAATTACTTAAAATTTGAACTCAGATATCATCGATTGTCAGATCATCTTCATAATCACAGCACACAATTTGAGAATCTCTAATTTTTACAATCTTCAAAGCACCAATATGAAGGTATTTTATGTTTATTAAGTTGACTGGATTGTCCTTACGCTTGATTGAAAGAGACCAGTTCGCTTCGATTACAAGTTTTTGTGGCTCGTTTGTCCGCTTTATTATTCACTGATTGATTGCCTAGACGAAGACTAGATTCAGTTCAGATCTCTCAAGACAATAAGAATGAAGGTGAGTATTTTCTCTTTGTGCCGGGTTCTCTATCTTTTAGGCTCATGCTCTGTTTTCTTTAAGGTTCGTAATTGTAGTCGATCTTTGCTTTTTTCACAGAAAATAGTGTTCAAATTGGATCCACGGGATGACAAAATCAAAGAAAAAGCCCTAAAGACAGTCTCTGGCCTTCCAGGTATTGAATTTAAGCTTTTCCTTTGTTTTTGGTTGCTTGGAAGTGAACTAAAAGGAAAAACCGTATATTTGATCTGTGCTGTTTGCCAAAGGTGAAAATTTGACCAATATGAGTTGCTCTGTGGTGTAATTTTACAGGGGTTGAATCAATCGCAATGGACATGAATGACAGGACATTGACAGTAATTGGAGACATTGATCCATTAAGTACAGTGCAAAAATTGAGAAAGCTATGTTTCACGGAGATAGTATTAGTTGGACCAGCAAAAGAACCAAAGGAGAAGAAGGAAGAGACCAAGAAATTTGGTGAGCTTATTGCTGGTGAAGATGAAAGAATTACTGTGACTTATGAGGTGGGTTTTCCAGGATTAGGTGATTTTGTTAATCTTGAAATGTGGAATTTTAATACTATGATTTATTTGTTATTACCGAAAGGCTGAGACAGTGTTGTGTAACTTTATTTTACAATAAAGTTAACACCGATCTGCAACTTTCTTTTGCAATTAAGTTCAGTTTACATCTCTGAAGGCAATAAAAATGAAGTTGGGTATTTTCACTTTGCTCCGGGTTCTCTATCTTTTAGGCTCATGCTGTGTTTTCTATAAGGTTCCTAATTTTATTTGATCTTGCTTTTAGCACAGAAAACAGTGTCGAAATTGGAACTACACGATGACAAAATCGAGAACAAAGCCAGAGAGACAGTGTTGAAAGTGGAACTACACGATGACAAAATCGAGAAAAAAGCCATGATGACAGTCTTTGGCGTTTCAGGTATTGAATTTAAGCTTTTCCTTAATGTTTGGTATCTTCGAAATGACCTAAAAGGAAAAACTGTAACTTTGATCTGTACTGTTAGTGAAAGGTGAAAAATTGACCAATACTAGTTGCTCCGTGGTGTAATTTTACAGGGTTTGTATCAGTCAAAATGGACATCGACAAGAAATTGACAATAATTGGAGACATTGATCTAGAAAGTACAGTGAGAAAACTAAGAAAGCTATGTGAGGCAGAGATACTATCGTTTGGACCAGCAAAAGAACCAGAGAAGAAGAAGGAAGAGCCCAAGAAAGAAGAGCCAAAGAAGGCAGATGATAATAAGAAAAAAGATGAGCCGAAAAAAGACGAGGTAGCCGAGCTCATCAATCCTTTTCTTTGTTCGACAGGGCTTCATGAAAAGGGTCTGGGGCTTATAGCATCAGAATCTGTGGGGATGACTTCAACCTCTGGAAGTAAAGATGAGTCAACTTCTGCTATTTCAGGTCACTTTGAGGTTCAAAGTCAGAGAGTACAGGATGCTGATACAACATCTGTGGCACTGAAAGCTGTGCTGATGGCTTCAACTTCTGGAAGTAAAGATGAGTCAACTTCTGCTATGTCGGGTCACTTTGAGGTTCAGAGTGAGAGAGCACAGGGTGTAGATACAACATCTCTGGCACCAGAAGATGGGATGATGACTTCAACTTCTGGAAGTAAAGATGAGCCTACTGTTGCCGTGTCAGGTCACTTTGAGGTTCACGGTGAGAGAGTAAAAGCTTCAGATACATCTCTGTCATCTGGTTATTCTCCTGCATCAAGCTCAGAGATCGTGGAAGAAGATGTGGTGCCATTTTCCTCCACAAATAAGTACGCCACCAGCCCATGAATCTGAAATTCAGATTGTATCTATGGAAGCAAGAGAAAGGATGCCATCCATTCATAAATTGGAATCTGAGATTGTACCTTCTCAAACTGAAGAAGAAGGTAAGATGAAGCGTGGATTGAATGCAAGTGCCCGGCAATCAGTTAAGCTTGCTGCAAAAGCAGGCATTGAATTGGGGAAAAGTAATCTAGTTGCAGTGGAATCAATGAGATCATCTCATCTCACTATAAAAAATGAAATTCCAGTTGAAGATCAGTTGCTGCGAGAACCAGTTTTATATGCGAAGAAATCAATTAAGACAACTGTGCGGAAGATTTTCAGCCACATTAATGATGTTAGAACTACACAAATTGCTGTTATTGGAACTGGTGGTATTGGAAAGACTACTGTGCTTAAGGCCTTGATCAACTTCCCAAACACAAAACATGTGTTTGATCTGGTAATTTTGGTGACCGTCTCAAGATATTGGAGCACAAGAAAGGTCCAAAATGAAGTTTTAAGACAATTATCTTTATGTTGTGAATATTCTGAAACCGATTCTCAAGTTGCAGAAAAATTATTAAAAGTTCTAAAAGGGAAGAAGTTTTTGTTGCTTCTGGATGATGTTTGGGAGCAGATTGATTTAGAGGCAGTGGGAATTCCTGGTCCCAGTTCAGAAAATGGCTGCAAGATAGTAATAGCGTCCAGAAAAATTGATGCTTGTCATGACATGAATTTGTTTAAGGTGGTTGGAGTAAAAAGTATCTCTTGGAAGAAAGCTAGGGAATTGTTCTATGAACAAGTGAGTACAAGGATTCCACCGTCAGATATCAAGTCCTTTGCTGAAACTATAGTTAAGGGCTGTGGTGGTTTGCCACTGCTAATTATTGTTACTGGAAGGGCCCTAGGAGGGAAAAATGATGTTTCCGTTTGGAAGGATGCTTCAAAAAAATTCTCATTGCCTAAAACTTCTAGAGAATGTCAAATTGAAGATTTACTCCAATTATTGAAATTCAGCTTTGACCAACTAAGTGATAATGATGTGAAAAGTTGTTTCCTTCATTGTGCTTTGTTTCCAGAAGATCAAGAGGTTAATATTTATAAATTCATAGAATATTGTATCCAAGAAGGTTTAATTACGGGTGCTCAAGCTGATGCACATAAAAGGGGCCATTATATAGTTGATGTTCTAGTACATGCTTCATTGTTACAAGTTACTGAAGGTGGAGATTCCATCAAAATGCATGATTTAATCAGAGATTTAGCATTGGGGATCTTATCTTCAATGCCAAAAGATAGTCAGTTTCTGTTGAGAGCAGAAGGTATTCAGAACCTGTTGAGTGCTTATTCAAGATCAGTCGAACTACTTAATGCAGGAAGTAGTTCATCATCAAGATCACTGAACATCCTCGAAAGCAGTAGATTGTGTATCCCGAAAGGTAATCAATTTCTATCCAGAGTTGGAGCAGGTCTAACAGAACCACCTCCGACTGAAGAGTGGAAACAGGCCAAAATGATGTTTTTGAGTGATAATGAGTTATGCACTCTACCTGAGAAACCAAATTGCCCTGAACTTTTGATTTTGTTCTTACAAAGAAACCGTTCACTGAGAGTGATACCTCCATCCTTTTTTGACTGCATGACTTCTCTCCAAGTGTTGAATCTATCTGAGACTAGAATAAAGTCCCTGCCAAAGACACTTTTTAAGCTAAGAAACCTCCTAATGCTAATTATATGTAATTGTAAACGTTTGTTTATGCTTCCGTCTGAAGTTGGATCGCTAGTTTGTCTTGAGGTGCTTGATCTCCGAGGCACTAAAATTAAAGAATTACCTGATAAAATTGGTGAATTGGCATTCCTGAGACGTTTGGAAGTGTCCTTCTATGGATCTATCGATGACAGTGAGTATGCTAGATTGCCTCGTCATTTGATTTCAAGTGGCATTATATCGCAGTTGGGCAATTTGGATACGCTTAGTATTGTTCTGTATCCAGGAGATGAAAGGTGGCATGAGGATGTGAAATATGTCAAAACTGAGATCAGCAAGTTGAAAAAGTTGAGGTTTCTATGTTTTCATTTCCCAGAAGTTAAGCATGTCCAAGAATTCCTCAGAGAAAGTGAACCATGGAAGAAGAAATTGTTAACGGAGTTCAAATTTGTGGTTGGCCGTGATGTCAAGAGCATTTCCTCTCAGGTACCAGACTATTTGGAGTTTGATTATAATCAACTGGGCCAATGTTTGAGATTTGTAAACGGTGAGAAGAAACCTGAGGAAGTTCTTCAAATATTAGCTCGCAGTAATGCTTTCTATTTAGATAATCATATTGACATTGAGAGCCTTTCCAGCTTTGGTGTTAGCCATATCAATGGGTTGAAGTTTTGTATAATAAGTGAATGCCCCAAGATTGAAACAGTTGTGCGTGTGGATGAAGTGGATGAAGATGCTGATGCCATCTTTCCTCTCCTGGAGACCTTAAGCATTCATCATTTGTGGAATTTAACGGGTATTTGGGAGGGGATTCTACCAGAAGGAAGCTTTGCTTGGTTAAGAATTTTGTCACTGTATGGATGTCCGAAGTTGGAGTATATTTTAAGAAGCTCAATGATTCAATATCTTTGTAATTTAGAGGAACTGGTTATCGAAGATTGTCGAGGCATTGAACAAATCATAGTCAAGGAGGAGACAATTAATTCTGATTCTGTTGCACTTCCCAGTTTGAAGAAGTTAACACTTCACTATCTGCCCGGATTGGTTAACATTTGGAGAGGTCCTTGGCCGCTATTTGAACATATCAGCATCTACTGTTGCCCAAACTTGAGGAAGATTGGTATGGATTCCAGGTTCAAAGATGTGATAATAAAGGCAGAGAGGAGCTGGTGGGATGCATTAGAGTGGGAAAATGATGAATTGCGCTTGCATCTTGAAAGCTTTTCAACCATTATTTTTCAAGATTATCTGTAAGTAAAATTTTTTTTGGGCATATTCGTTTTCAATGAGTTCATAGGTAAGGTGGGAGTTCTGAGTTTTAACTATGTTGTACATATCGTATATCCGAATCATCAAATTTTCCCCTTTATCTTTTCGTTCTGATTTGGAAAGCACGAGAGTGATTAAATTAACTCATGTAATATTAAATTGAGGTTCGAAACTTCGAATGTATGATTAAGTTGTATGAGAATGCATGATTACATGTGTTTGCACCTGGTAATTTATGCATGCATGAATTAGTTCATGTTATCGGAGGGGCTTGTTACAATGATGAGAATGAAACTGGTGTTAGTGATATGTAGCAAATTTGAAAGTAGTTCATGAAATGATGGTGTAATGGAATGGAATTGAATTAGGTTTAACTACCGTGGGAGGTTGATAGAGACGTTTGGGTGTATTACTTAAGAGATTTTGAATTCGAGTCCCTATCAATTACTAATAGGGATAGTCATTCGAGTTTTTACTAGATTGGTAGTTCTAAGGTGTCGAAGGATTAATTAAGGTATGTGTATATAAAAAAAAAAAAAAAAAAAAGTGAACTGGTTTAAACTTTGGATATTTTGTTTCTTTTAAGAAACCTGTGAGTGCATAGTAAATTTTAGGATTATCGCCCTCACCTTCTCTGATGTTTTCGTTTTTTTATGACATTTAAAACATCATCCCTCGTCTCCTCTCAGATTTAAAAAGTTCTCTCAAACCTCTCCTCCGACTGCTAACAAAATCTGTTGGGTCTATAGTATTTTTCTTAAACAAAAATTATCACAACCCCCCCTATGTATAACTATTAAAAGCCCCTTAGATATTTGAAACTGTTCTCAACTCCCTGATAATAAAACCAAGTTGCTCTAAACTTTAAAACCAATTAAATACCTTATTTACCCTTAATTCCACTAAAATAAAGAATAATAAAAGTACAATTCTACTTAAGGGGTTTTTTTTGAAATATCTATGTACTTAGGAAGTTTAGATACTTTTCTCTTAACTGGTTTGAGAGAATTATTAAAATTTGAGAGGATGCGAGAGATGCTATTTTAAACTTGTGAGGTGTCACTAAGGTAAACACAAACCTTGGGAGTTGAGGGAGAATAGCCCTAAATCTTATGAAATGTTAAAAGTGTAATAATTGATGCCATTGTTTTAGTATTTTTGATATTTTTAGAGTTTGGTGGGAATACCGAGATATGATTTAAAAATTAACAAAAACGCATCTTAAGTTTGTTAATTTCTAAACACCTCTGTAATAAAAATATTAAAAATTATAAAAGCACCCTCACCCACCCATTAAATACCGGCAATCGATCACCATTGCCGGAGGGTGGCTGGAGTCGCCGTATCGACGCATGATTGGTTGGATCTGGCCAGCCGTGCACCGAGATAGCATTTTCCAGTTAAATCCACCGTGGATCTAGCCGTTGATGGTCAGATCTAACCATGTTTAGTCGTCAATGAGAGCCAAAGATATGGTCGTCGTTGACGACTAACTACGGCCAAAGATCGGGCTATCAACGACCAAATCTTTGGCCATTGATCTGGCCCTTTTCGACCAGATCCACGATGGATCTGGCCGAAAAATGATAGATCAGCGCACTGCCAGCCAAATCTAGCCGATAGTGTGCCATTATACCAGATTTTAATGTGGGTGGATGGGGGTGTTTTTGTCAATTTCTAAACTTTTTTTCGAGGGTTGTTTAGTTAAATTAATAAACTTAAAAGGTTTAACAAGTTGAATAAAATATAATAGTATTTTCAGAATAGGGAAACAAACAGGCTTCGTTTGGTTGCCAATTGGGAATACTACTTTTAGTATTCCCAAAAAAGTTAAACAGTAAAATACCCAAAAACTTTGGGCTTTGTTTAGTTCAAAATTTGGGGGTTTTGGGAAAAGTTTTTTGAAAAAAGTTAAAAAAAAGTTGAATTGGGCGGGTATTACGATGTAGAATATTTACCAGATTCCGGCCACCACTGCCGAAAAATGGCCGAAATCTGTTAGGATGGCGCACTACCGGCTGAATCTGGCCGGTAGTGCGCCGATCTAGCCTTTTCCAGTCAGATCCATGGTGGATCTGGCCGGAAAAGGCCAGATCTAAGGCCAAAGATCTGGCCGTAACGGTTTATAACGACGGCCAACAAACAGTCGTCGTTGACCATCAACGACGACCGTTTGTTGGTCGTCGTTGACAAGAAAATACGGTGGATCTGGCCGGCAAAGGCCATATCGGCGCACGACCGGCAAGATCCAGCCGGTCATGCGCCAATACGGTGAACCCGGCTACCATCCGGCAGTGGTGGCCGGCTGTCCGTATTTGATATTGGGTTGGGGGTGTTTTTGTTAACTTTTAAGATTTTATTATAGGGGGTGTTTGTAAATAAACAAATATAGGGGGTATTTTATTAATTTATAAATCCTACATCGTAATACCCGCCCAATTCAACTTTTTTTTAACTTTTTTCAGAAAACTTTTCCCAAAAACACCCAATTGTGAACCAAACGAAGCCACAGGTATTTTGGAAATAGTATGAATAGGATAGTGAAAAATATTAAACCAAACATACCCATAAGCTTCCCAAACTTTAATATCCAACATTAATTTTTTAGTAATACTACGCTCACAACTCAATCTCACAATTTTCTCTTACAATCCTAATGTGATAGCTGAGTTGGTAACTGTCACGTCAGCTCCCATCATGACTCAAGACACTAAATGACTTTGACTAAATACGAACGATTGTTTCTTAAGGACGAACAATCGTTCGTTTATAAAGAATATTTGTTCCTTATGAAGCTATTCTTTGTGAAGGAACAACCATTTTTTTATGAATGAAATGACTGTTCCTTATGAAGAAACAACCATTCCTTGAGAATGAACGGTTGTTTGTCCCTAAAAAACGGCTGTTCGTCTCTACGGAACGGTAGTTCATGTTTAGTCAAAAAGTCGTTAGTTGACGTGGTAGTGTCAACCATATTGTCACATTATGATTGTAAGAAAAGGTTGTGATGTGGGATTGTAAACTTAGTGTGTATATATATATATATATATATATATTTTTTTTTTTTTTTTTTTTTGACATTTTATACCAGATAAATAGTACAAATGTTCTAAATCAACCTTCAAGCAAGGTATATTTCAACCACACGGTGCGATACAAAAACAAAAGGATACGTATACGGCAACACCCACCAAAAAAAAAAAAAAAAAAAGAGAAGATGGCATTACTAAAATTTGACATCCGCAACAGGCAAAGATCAAAAGCAGCAACTTCCGAAAGAAATTCTCCAGATATTAATACAATGATTACCATCCGCAAATGCATGCCTGCAAAAAGAACTCAATCAAGTTCTGCAAATTAGTATTGGAAATTTTGGTGATTGTCATCTAAAGCAGAGCTAGCAAAGAAATGCCCTCTAAGAGAATTATGTCTTTTAAGTTACCTCATAATGGTCGACGCAGCTTTGCAAGTTGACTTTTGTAACATCGCCATCATTCGGCCAAACCAACTGGTTCCACAGATCTGGACTGCAATGGATCCCTCTCAATTTCTCTGCCGTTCGGAAAGTAGATGGGAAATTTGTAAGCTTCACACAAGTATTAATCTTCAATGTCTCCAAAGCATCCCATTTGATTGACACATCATGGCAAATAGTAGACAATAAAGGAAGATTAATGAGTTCCAAATTCTTCAATTTAGAAAAGGCCGTGGAATCAACTATACTTTCATCCTTGATGATTTCCTTAATGGCTAGGCATTCCTCAATCTGCAGATACTGCAACTCCTTAAGATGTGTAACCACTTCCTGAGAGAATAAAAATTCCAGCACATGGCATCCTTTTAGTGTTAAAGTTTTGAGCATATTGAGACTCCCTGACACAATTGCACCTTTCCAAATGTGCATCAATTTTGGAAGACGATCTAGGTGTAACTCAGTTAAGCATTGAAACGGAACACCGCTTACAAGGTCACTGTCGATGATGCTTATCATTTCAGGACAATCTTCAATTGTACATGATTGAAGCCCTTCCAGATTATCAGCACTAAAGACTGATAAGTTCGGAGCTTTATGAGCAATTAGCTCAAAAGAAAATGCTTGCTTCAATATCTTTAAAATTGCATCTGGAAAGGCTTCACCTGAAGGCACATAGCCACATAAGAACGGAAAAATTATTCACTAGAAAAGTGAAATAATGATAAATAAATACAGAATTTGTATTACAAAGATAGTTTATAAGGAGAATTAAAGTTGGTTTTAGTAACCATTTGGTAAATTTGAAGTTAGTTCAGTTCTTTTGTGAAGAGAAATAATGAAAGTCATAGATGGAAATAAAAGGATTAACCCACTCACCTGCAGAAAATCTCAAACGCTTTTCAGATGACCATTCAGAGACATCAATTTCAGTTGGAGAATTTCCTTGTTGAGGACCCACAACAATGCTGAATGATCTGAGTCTCTCGCCTTGCCACGCATTGTTTCCATTCCACAATGTACTGCCACTAACAAAGGTCTCGAAGCATCTCAAGGTTGGAAAGTAAAAACAAAGAGTAGTCAACTCTTTAAGATCAGCAATTTCAGCAACAATGCGTGCCACATTTTGGTCCCACCTTCCATCAGTTGGATCCACAACAATACCCAACTCTTCCAATGAATGAAGTCTAGCAATTACATCAGAAGAAATCATCTCCCTTGACGCACCATCAACATGGTTCTGGTTCCCAATATCTTTTTTAAATGAAACTCTCAAACACTTGAGAGCAGTCAACTTTCCTATTTCCATAGGCAAATTATAAATTCCAGTATAACGTATGTCAAGGATTTCAAGACTATGAAGTTCTCCTACCTCAGCACAAAGCTCTATTAATTGATCACGATTCTTCATGTTAAAGATCTCGTAAATAATGTGATTATGTACCTATTGTTATACTCTATATTTAGTTAGTTTAGAGTTTATGAGCTGTAATCTTAGAATCAATATTATTTTCTTCTATATTAGGGTTAAGTTGACTAGTATATTTCTTCTTAATTAGGGAGATCAGCTGCCTTTTTTTTTTGTTCCTAGTTAAGCTCTTTAAATACTATACATCAATATAGAAAATCATTCAGCCTTCTTATTTTTTTGTTCACTGTTTTTATGGTATCAGAGTAGAAAAAAAAAATCCTGTTTGAATCCTTTTTCTTTTTATCTCTAAAATGTCTGAAGTCACTTCTGGGAAAAGCCAGCCTCTTCAGCCATCTCAGTCCGAACCTCAGAGAAATACATCTGAAAACCACCCATTCAGATTACTACAATCCGACTAAGGGTGATAATTTTCTTCGATGGTCACAATCTGTTCGCATGTTCTCCGGGAAGAGGAAAGATTGGCTATATCACAGGTGATACTAAGCAGCCTGACGTGAATGACAAAACTTATGCCATTTGGGATGCTGAAAACTCAATGGTAATGACATGGTTGTTCAATTCCATGACTGAAGGATAAGTGCAAACTACCTGTGTACTCCAGCCAAGGAATTATGGGACAATTTACAGAATGACTCTGATCTTGGAATCAATCCCAAGTTACGATTTGACCCTACGACTTGGGGAAATTTGCCAAGGTGAGGATTCATGACAAGTATTTCAATTCTCTTAAACGGATTTGGCAGGACCTGGACTTATTCAATGATTATGAGTGGATCAAAGGATGACTGCAACCAGTAAAAGAGATAGTGGATACTGGCCGAATCTTCAAATTTCTTGCAGGTCTAAATGTTGAATATGATGAGGTCTGTGGCCGAATAATTGGAAGAAATTCCCTGCCTCCAATTGGTGAAGTTTTTGCAGAGTTAAGGAGAGAGAGAGTCGGAGACATGTGTGTTGGGAAAGAAGACTGCAGGTTCAAACGCGTCCATGGAAGGTCAGTGCTGGCTATTCCTGAAGCCCAAGTAAGCAGTAGAACTTCTCAAAACCAGCGTGTAGAAGACAAAAACAACCTGCAATGTGACTACTATGGAAAGCCCCGCCATACTCGCAAAAAAATGCTGAAGTTGCATGGTAAAACACCTAATGGTAAGGGAAAAAAATCTGGTGAACATAGCACACCTACCCAAATAGGCTGAGTCATCTCCATTTAGTAAAGAGCAATTAAGTCATCTTCTTAAACTACTGAATCTTGCTCATCATCTAATGCTCCTATGCGTTCTGGCCCAAACGTGTAATTCTTTGGCTTTATTTGTTCTAGGAAGTACTACTCCTTGGATCATAGATTCAGGAGCCTCTGATCATATGACAAGCTGTTTTCAATTGTTTGATTCATATTATCCATTTTCCGGTTCCGAAAAAATCAGAATAGCTGATGGCAGTTTTTCACCTAGTCAGGCAAAGGAACATTAAAATTTCAGAAAAAATATCTTTGAAATCAGTTTTACATGTTCACAACTTGCATGTAATCTTCTTTCCGTTAGCAAATTGTCTAAGACTCTGTATTCCATTCTTTTTTCTCCTTTCAATTGTGTTTTTCAGGACCAGAACTCGGGGAAGACGATTGGAACTGCTAGAGAAATAAATGGGTTGTACTACTATGATGGAACTGGTTCTGGAATAAAACAGCTCATGGATTAGGTAGTACAAGTTCAAGCTTTGTCATGATCAAGTTATGTTATGGCATAAAGATTAGGCATCCGTCTTCCCATATCTCAAATCTTTATTTCCTGAATTATTTAAGGAATTGATTGTTCAAAACTTCATTGTGAGGCTTGTCATTTAGCTAAAAGTCATCGTGTTTCGTTTCCAATAAAACCATATTCTGCTTCAAAACCATTTTATTTGTTGCATAGTGATGTTTGGGGCCCATCCAAAGTTAACACACTTTTCGGAAAAAAATGGTTTAACATTTATTGTGATCACACACGATTTTGCTGGGTTTATTTGTTGAAAAGAAATCTGAAGTTGAACAACGATTTAAAGATTTTTCCCCATGGTTGAAAATCAATTTCACAAAATTGGCATTCTAAGAACGGATAATGGGACTGAATATTTCAACAATATTGAGAACATTTATTTTGGAAAAAGGTATTCTGCATCAATCTACTTGTCGTGACACACCACACCAAATGGTATTGCTAAAGAAAAAATAGGCATTTACTTGAGTGCTTTGGCCACGTTATGTTTTCCATGAATGTTCCTAAATATCTTTGGGGTAATGCACTCCTAACCTCTTGTTATTTAATAAACAGAATGCCATCTCGAGTTCTGAAATTTCAAACACCTTTACAAGTTTTGAAAAATTGTTTTTCCACATCTAAGATAACAACAGATCTCCCTTTAAAGGTTTTTGGATGTGTTTGCTATGTGCATGTCCCAAATGTGTTTCGCTCAAAACTTGATCCCAAAGCTGAAAAATGTGTTTCGCTCAAAACTTGATCCCAAAGCTGAAAAATGTGTTTTTATTGGTTATGCTTCTAATAAACGTGGGTACAAGTGTTTTAATCCAGTCACAAAGAAATTTTTTGAGAGCATGGATGTCAGGTTTGTCAAGGATCACTCTTTTTTTCAAAAAAAATTTCTTCAGAGGGAGAACTTAGTTGAAGAAAACAATTTTTGGGAAACTTTACCCATTTCTTTAACTAATTCTGATATGGAAACTAGTGTTAGCACTATTAATCCTACTTTGCCAGATGTTACTTTATCAGAGACAGGGGGAGAAGTACTTCCAACAGATCATAATCCAGTGGATCATAATCCTCAACATGAGCTGCAAGTTTATACTAGGAAGAAATTCCATAAAGTTACTACAGCCCCAGTTATTCCTTCAGCAGATGTTCAATCAGCTTTGCAGAATAATGGCCATACAACTCAGAGTAACCTTCCCTCTACTTCCACTCCTTCTGACCTTGATCTTCCAATTGCTTTAAGAAAAGGAATCCGAACATGCACTAAACATCCTATCGCACAATACTTATCATATGAAAAACTGTCAAAAAATCATAGAGCATTTGTGTCTAGGATTTCTAATATGTTTGTTCCAAGAACTATTCAGGAAGCATTAGATGACCCGAGCTGGAGATTAGCTGTGATGGAAGAAATAAATGCTCTTAAAAGAAATAACACTTGGACTGTCATTGATCTACCCAAAGACAAAAAGACGGTTGGGTGCAAATGGGTGTTCACGGTGAAGTTTAAAGTTGATGGAAGTGTGGAGAGATACAAAGCGAGACTAGTAGCAAAAGGATTTACTCAAACTCATGGTATTGATTACCAAGAGACTTTTGCTCCTGTTGCTAAAATTAACTCTATTAGAGTACTTCTTTCTCTTGTAGTTAACTTCAACTAGCCACTTCATCAATTTGACGTAAAGAATGCGTTTTTAAATGGACAATTGCAAGAAGAAGTATATATGGACTTGGCACTCGGATTTGAAAGAAAACTTGGAAAAGGCAAAGTGTGCAAATTAAAAAAGTCTCTATATGGACTAAAGCAGTCCCCTAGAGCTTGGTTTGAGCGTTTTGGTGATGTTATCAAGAGACATGGTTTCTCTCAAAGCCAAGCTGATCACACCTTGTTTTTCAAACATTCCATCAAAGGTAAAGTAACTATTTTTGTGTTGTATATGACATAATCATGACAGGGGATGATCTCTTGGATTAGCAACTTGAAGAGGAAACTTGAAGTCGAATTTGATATTAAGGACTTGGGAAAGCTGAAATATTTCCTCGGGATGGAGTTTGCAAGATCCAAGGAGGGAATTTTTGTCAACCAACGCAAGTATGTGCTTGATTTACTCGAAAGAACAGGAATGACAGGTTGTAAGGCAGCAGATCCGCCAATCGAACCTAATGTAAGTTGAAAATAGCAGCAGCTAATGAGATAATGGACAAAGAACGTTATCAAGATTGGTAGGTCGACTAATCTATTTGGCTCACACTCACCTGACATAGCTTTTGCAGTGAGTGTGTGAGTCAATTCATGCATTCACCTGGACCTACTCACTTTGAAGCCGTGTTCAGAATTTTGAGATACCTCAAAAGAACTCCTACAAAGGACTTTTTTTCAAAAAAGGAGAACATCTTCTGATAGAAGCCTACACAGATGCAAATTGCAGGAGATGTAATATAGAAGATCCACCTCAGGTTATTGTACCTTTGTAGGCGGAAATCTTGTTACTTGGAAAAGTAAAAACAAAGTGTGGTGGCAAGGAGTAGTGCTGAAGCAAAATTCCGCTTTGTGGCACATGGGTTCTGTGAAGTGTTATGGATAAAAGACCCTAGAAGAATTGAAGATGCCTATACCAGCACCTATTAAAGTTTACTGTGACAACAAGGCTGCAATCTCTATAGCTCATATCCATTTCTACATGACAAAACAAACATGTAGAAGTTGACAAACATTTCATCAAGGAGAAGATAGATAGTGGTGTGATATGTTATGTCCTACATCCCACTGCTAGCCAAACAGCAGATATACTAACAAAGTCTCCCCAAGGTGCAACTGAGAATCTAGTTAGCAAGCTTGCCATGAGTGATATCTTCATGCCAGCTGGGGGATTGTTGAAAGATCTCGTAAATAATGTGATTATGTACCATATTTGTTATACTCTATATTTAGTTGTTTAGAAGTTTATCAGCTGTAATCTTAGGAATCATATTTATTTTCTTCTATATTAGGGTAGTAAGTTGACTACTATATTTCTTCTTAATTAGGGAGATTAGCTGCCTTTTTTTTGTTCCTAGTTAAGCTCTTTAAATAGCTATACATCAATATAGAAAAATCATTCAGCCTTCTTATTTTTTTTGTTCACTGTTTTTACTTCATGAACATTGCTTTGAGATTTCTCAAACTGGAGATGGATGGTGGAAGAGTTTTGATCTTCGTTTTATACAAGTCAGAAGTTGAAGCGCAACCATATGCACAAAGAATGATCCTGGAAATTTTGCCAAGCTATTAATTTCCTGAAGTAACAATGTTAAGATTCTTTCAGAATTGGGCTTATCTAGCAGACAGGGTCGGCACAAATCGCCAAACATTGAGATCCTGTTGCATCTTCCCATTTTATTTCTCTAACCATTTCTTGTCTTGAACATAATTGTTCTCGTTGTGTTTGGCAAATCTAAATGCCAACCTTGATAAAACTCAAACATCTTATATCGTCCCATCTTCGTTCCCTTTTCCAGCAGAGTTTGTTTACAAAATTAAGCAATATATCACGCCCCTCATCTCGTGCCTCCCCAAGCTTTTTGCAATTCATTTAAAAACTGTTCTACTCTCCAACACTCGATTATATAATCCATATGAAGCTCATGACCAGCAGGAAAATTTGCCAAATATAGAAAGCAAGGCTTCTCATCTTCTGATAGCTCTTCCATTTCAACTTGAAGTAATTTGTAAACTTCTCCCAATTCTTGCTTCAGTTTCCCAGTTGGTGAATATAATTTATGCTTTGTATTCCGCCATATTGCAACAATGTCTGCATTTGTTGGTTGACACCTGATTTTAGTTGCCAAGTTGTTTCCTATCATCTTTATCAGGAATGGCATGCCACTGCAGAACTTGATAATCAATTCTGCCTCCGTCTTGATGTGTGGATTATCCTTCAAATGCACACCCACTATCTCCCAAAACATATTTTGAGCATCCATGCTTGACAATCTCTTCACTTCGATCTCTTCGTCCCCATGCTCACAAACATCTATATACCTGGATGCAAAGACCACCTTTCCATTTTGTTCATCATTAATGCCTACTTTTTCCAAATCAATGTTGGAAAAAACTTCATCAAGTAACAATAAATAGCTCTTGTACTTCTTCAGCTGATTATAAAGCATGCTTTTTCTTTCTTCCTCGCTGAAATTTTTTAATTTTATTTTCAACCGCTTCAGAAGTTCTTTTTGTATGTATCCTTCAATATTTTTTCTTCTGCCTACACTTACCCAAAAAACAATCTCAAAGTCATTACATTTCTCCATTTCTTGCTGCAGACAGTTCATTATTGTAGTTTTCCCAACTCCTATCGGTCCCCTCACGCCAATTGTTTTGATATTCTCATTCCTCAGATACTCCCGTAGCATTCTTAAGTCCCCATCAATCGACTGAAATTCGCTACTTCTGTTGGTAGGATTCCTTATATGTGGAGCCGGTGCCTTCTTAATAATTAAAATACTTATCTTGCCCCTTTCTTCTCTCAAAGAAACTACGTCCCCAATCTTTTCTACAATTCTTCTACCAAGATTCAGGAGATAACAAAATGGACATAGTCCACAAAAGCATTTGGAAACCTTTAGGTACTCTGTCTTCAATTCGTTGATATCATCTTTGATTTTTTTCACTTCGTTCCGCCAGTGTTTGCATTCATTTGTCTCCTCTACTTCTGTTTCATTTCTTTCCAGTTTGTTCCTCACATCTTCCTCTTGAGCGCATAGTTTACTATATTCCTTCATAAGTTTGTCATAATTCTCCTGCATACGTTTCACATAACCATATTTACGTGTCAGATAGCTGAGTATGCCTGTACCTTGTTTAATTGCAAAATCGGCTCCTGCTACAACTGTTTGCGTTGCTGTCAGTGGCTCAACAGGCATTCTGCAAATATTGTTGAAATTTCATGCAATGTATTAAAGAGAATTTGCTACCAAACTAAAAAATCTGTATGATCAAAACAAAATTGAATTGCAGATAACCAATTTGCTTCTAAATATAGTTTCAAAGTTCAATATCACTAACTGTAGAAAAGAGTTAGATAAAAGGGCCCCTGGCTGTACTGAAAGGTATGATAGTAAGCTTGTCTCTACGGAAATGAAATCTGGCAATTGGAAGACTTGGAACATAGCAGACTAGAAGCTTTTTCAAGGTACCTTGTAAAATATACATTAGTTGATATATATTTTGTCCAAAATTGGATTTGAAGCAAGTGAAACTAGCACCTAAATTATCACACCAAAACATAGCTCCCCAAGGGCTTAGCCTGGCAGTTTACCAGCCACTTTCTTTGGCTGGCCACCCAGGTTTGATCCTTGGGAGTAGGATACAGGTTCAAAAATGCTTTGGGTAATGACCCACCCCTGTCCTTTAAAAAAAAATCACACAGAAAAGTAGGAAAACCAAGAAATTTAACCTACATTTTAGCCAAAACAAAAAAAAAAAAAAAAAAAAAGATGGAAATGCAGACTGTGGGTTGTTATACCTTTGAAATACTTAAGAATTTGTTTGCAAGCTTGTCAATGGTGATTAATAGGGGCTCCCAAGAATGGACTAAGCTTGTTTACACGTTAAGAAATATTGGGTGTTGTCATTCTGAGATATTGCAGCCTTTCAATAATGCTTATGTAGAGAGAAGGCTGATCAAACAATGGGCTATTATGCAAGGAGAGTTTGACTGTTAAAGTCATTGGAGTTACATAAAGTTTAGCTGCAGACGAATTTGTATTGGCTTAATAAATCATGTATGTAACTAGTTCAAGTTAGCAAAACACAAGCAGAGTACCTATGAGCGTCAAACATAATAATGGAGCTAATTAATCCCAAAGTCCTCAAAGCAAACTAGGGGGTTATCGGTAAAAAGACTCGTGGTTATATCATCCACATAAACCAGTAGAAAAATACGACAATTATCTAGCATTGTAAATGATAAACTGCTACCAGACTTGGAATAACAAAATCCCCACTACAGTAGTGCTAGCTTTTATCTTATGAAACCCAAGGTCTACGAGCATGTTTTATCCATAATCTTCAAAATCCTCAGGCTGCATGCTGCATATACTGTGTTTTTTAAAGGGTTTGTCGAAAACTTCTGCTTGCTAATCTAGCCTAATATTTGAATACTTCCATTAGCATGAAACCTAGCTCTAAAAACCCACTTATTGCAAACAACATTCATGTTTTCTCTACAGTTTTTTGAAGCAAAGATAATTTCTGAGACATGTTTGGCTACTTAGAATTTGTAGGAAATATTCCAAAAGAAAGAAATAAACGACTCTATATACTTGGCTCTAATACTAATTTAAACTAACACAGTCTCAAAAAAAGAATTGATAACGAACAATTTATCTACATATGTGATAACTCATCTCAACAATGAAAACCAAGAGATCTGTCAATTAACATATTACTAGTCTCAAAATTTATAATTAAAAGAAGAATATGGACCAAATGGCCAACATGGTGATGGTTTGCATCAAGTAAGTAACTTTCAAATCCGCTTTTTCAACTAAACATCATTTATATTTTAAAAACAGTTTTTTCTTATCAAGCTGAGACAAATAGATCTTGTTGTTGGTCAACCCAAAATAGTTAGGAACAAACCTGGAAAATTGCCTGGTTACTGCCTCTTCTCGTTCCCAGAAGCTCTGAAGCAGCTCAAAACTGGAGGAATTCCTTCTAAATCTGACGAGATCAAAACCAGTCTACTCAGTAAGTCAGTCAACGCCGGTGACAGAAGAAATGATAATCTACATAATATTTTCATGCTGGACCATGCACAGCAGCACCTACAGCTTGGGCCTTTATTTATGTTTTATTTTTCAACACATTTTTGAACTTCTAGCAGGATCTGGGAAACTTTAAGTAAACCCCATGGTTTCATGAATTACTAACCCGACCCGCCATTCATTCAATCTTCGTTAATCAAAATCCGTTAAAAGAAGCAAAATAAAGTTTTTGCCCTTAGCAATCATTTTTTTTTTTTTTTGGGTAATTAAACTATTAAAAGTGTTTTTAGATTGTAAAAGCTACTAGATCTAAATGTTGAACTTATTGTAAAAGCTACCTTTTAACTAGTTATTTAGATTGTAAAAATATTGCTTTTTCCAATTTGAGATCTCAACTTTGTAAGTGTAATATCAATTTTCCTTGAATTATCTTTATTCTTGGTTGCCTTTGGTACACTTTACAGACTCTATTATATTCTATTATCCTATTTAATCCAACAAAAAACGTATTTGTTTTAATATTGACTATTCAATTCAAAATACAGTCAAATTCTATTCAACTCAAAACATTTAATAATTATCTTTCATAATAAAAGTTTATAAATTAACAAAAACACCCCCACCTCCACCCCCAAGCCACAATCACTTGTCAGCAGCCACCGCCGGCCATTGGCGTCGGAATGATGCACGACCAGCTAAATTTGGCCGATCGTGCCCTGATCTTGCATTTTCTAGTCAAATCCACCGTGGATCTGACCTATCATGCACCATTTCGACGACTAATGACCACTGTCCAATGGTAATGGCTAGTTGTCGGAAGTCGATTAAGTGAGTAGAGGTATTTTTATTAATTTATAAATTTTTATGATGGGGGTGTTTAGCTAAATTAACAAATATAGAGGGTTAAAAGTAATCTAAATATTTTTAGAAAATGTTTTCCAATAATGTACCTAACACATTCTTAAAATCCTATCTTAAAATTTATTCAGAATAGGAATTTATAAATCCTATTAAAAAAGTGTACCAAACATAGACGAACACTTATTTTTGGTTTATGATTTAGGCACGGGGAACATTTACCCGTCACCTCCTTAGATTTCGAAAATTAATGGTATCACCCTCAATTTTCAAAGATGTTAAAGTTAAAAGGAAGGTGTGATGTGATTAGTTCTTGAAATTAAAAGGGGGGTGAAATTCATTAAGTCGTGAATGGATTACATACTATAAGTCATCCTTGAACTTTGTATTATTGAAGAGATAGGTCAACATATTTTAATCTAAGTCTTTCTTTATACAATTGTTAATATTATTCTGGATGAATTATGCATAAAATATTTTTGTGTTTTATTTAGTAATTTTCATAAAAGGATAAAATTATAATTAAGAAGAAAATAGTAATTGAGGTCAACTAAACAATAGCATCACTCAAAACCAAATTTACGGTTATTAGATTATTTTTAAAAAGACCATATTAAAAAATTAAAAAATAGATTATGAAATTAAAAAAGACAAAAAAGATTAAAAAAAATAAAGTGAAAAAAAAATACGATTTTTATAAAAGGGAAAATTTTTTCTCTTTACTCTTTATGCCACATTTTAAAGGGCAAATTTGGGATTTCATTGCTATGTCACTATCAGGTGCCAAAAGTTATAACAGCTAACTAATGTCAGGGGTTTTTTTGGCTATTTCTGATATCTCAGGGGGTTTTATAATTACGTTTAGCATCAGAGTGGTGGAAAATCCCTAAAATTTAATGAATATTAATAATACTTGTTGGAAATTCAGGGGTGATTTTAAAAATTAACCCAATAAGAATCCTTTGCTTTAAATTATGACTTCTCGTTATAATCATAATTTGAAAAAAAAAAAAAAAAAATCATGTAGGAAGAAGAATCTTTTCATATATGTTTATGGCTGATTTCTTTTCCCTTCCTAATTATACCAAAACTACATGTGTACCCAAAGCTTCAGAAACTATCAACATTCCACCCAATTTTAAATGTAAAATGTTAAAATTAACAAGAAAAGGGCATTTATGTCTTTCCCTCTCTATATATATAATATAAAAAAGAAAATAAACCGTAATCTCCCTCAATATTCGCTTAAACTACAAAAATGACTCAAAATCAAGTGTATTAAATTTTGGACAACCCTTTTTATGGACATTTTATTAAAAGACCAAATCAAGTTCAAATTTAATTAAATGATTTTGTAGTTTTAAAGTGTTAAGTAAATAGTCTTATTATTGATTAAAGTTAATTAAACATGATTAGTGGTTAATTAGGATTAATGAAGTATTGTGTAATCTTTTAAAAATTATAATATGTCCCCAAAAAGCCAAAATTCTTGCAAACAAACCCAAACACCTTCTTCTTCTTCCTCCCGCCATTAACGCACCTCCTTTGGTTGTTGTTTCTTCTAAGCTTCGTCTACATCTTCTTCTTCCTCCTTCGTCTACATCTTCTTCTTCCTCCGCAATTAACATCTTCTCCGCCAAAGATCTGCCTCCTCCTCCTCCTGACATTTCATCTAGGAATATGTATCTACTCTTTGCATTTTAAATTTTGATTTACAAAGATTTAATGATGGATTGGGTTTGGGTTATGATTTTGATTTAATTGTTTAGGTTGTTGGGTTGTGTTTGATGTAATGCAAGTTCAAATGAGTGAAATTTGTTGAATATTTTTTTGCATTGTGGGTAGCTGGGGGTGGTAGCACCGATTGTAGGTGGAGATGACTAAAAATGTGTTCTAGATCTGATGGATTGCTTAAGCGATTTGGTATGTCTGGTTTAATGCAGCATATGGCAAATCGCTTAAGAGATCAGGTATATGGTAGAAGATCGCTTGAGCGATCTGCTAGAAGTCTGGTATATGGCATAAGATCGCTTAAGCGATTAGACTTATTTATACCAGATCGCTTGAGTGATCCAGTAGGCGATATATTAAATCACTTAAGCGATGCACCACATCCTTAAGCGACTCTGGAGATGCTTTTTAAAATCTGCTAACCCTTAATATATCGGTTAATAATTTTTGTTTTCTTGCATTATAGGTACTTGGCTATTCTTAGACATGGGACAAGTGGTTTTGGGTGTTCAATATTTTGGTGAGTGGGTAGAGGAAAAAAGTTGTTGGAAGTGGATTGGGAAGAGCAAACAAGTTAAAGCAATTGTTGTGAGTACAAAAGTTAGTTTTGATGAGTTAATTGATGAAATCATTAGAAAAGATGGGTTGAGTTGCTCACATAGTGATATAGTTGTGAAGTCTGTTTTAAGCAGAGCTCCTGCAAATTTTAGGGTACCCCCCATTGTATTAATGTTTGATGAAGGTGTGAAATTATTTATCTTGATGTGGGCGATAATGGTTCGAGGCTGATTTTAATGGTTTCGGTTGTAGATAAAGCTTTGGAAGTTGGTTCAAAAGTGAGCGGTAATTTGGGTGGGGAGAGTGCTAGTTTTAATTTTAACTACGAGAGCATTGACTTATTTGTTGAAAAATCAAGATTAGGCGGTGATTTGAGTGGTGAGGATGACACTGTAGAAGAGGTTGGTCATGTGGGGCAGAATGAAAATGTGGACAAGGAGGACCCTGTACATGTTCCCGCAGATGTAGAGATTCCTATAAATACAAATTATGCAGAAGGTGTAGTTTGTGAGAAAGAGAATACTATGGTCGTTTATACAAGTTTAGAGGCGGCAATTGTGGGTAGTAGTGAATTAGCTCACGTTTTTATTGATGGATTGCACTTGCGCGTAGGTTATTTATTTGACAACAAGGAGGAAGTGGTGAGGAAGCTAAAACTTATTACCGTGAGAGGTAATTTTGAGTTTATCACCAAAAAGTCTAATTTATCACTAGTGACGATTGCATGTCGTGACCGAAAGTACAAGTGACTGGTTTATTGTAAAAGGTTGGCGGAGTCCGAAAAATTTATTGTTAGCACATATACTCGCAAGCACACATGTGGGTTGGGACATAATTCATGTGATCATCGACAAGCCTCTGCTGATGTTATTGGATAATTTGTCAAAAGTCAATTTGTTGAAGGGAAAGGTCCATCTCCTAAGGACATTCAGAGACTTGTGCACACAGAGTTGAGATGCTATGTTAGTTATTGGAAATGCTGGAAAGAGAGACAACATGCACAAGATTTTGTGAGGGATACGCCAGAGCACGGGTACGCAGTATTATAAGCGTACCGTTATATGTTTGAGTTGACAAACCAAGTTAGCAACACGACTTTGAAGTGGGACTAGAATATGAGGTTTAAATAGTATTTGTTGCCTATGGTGTTGCTATAAAGGGTTTTGTAAACATGAGAAATATGTTGGCTGTTGATGGTTGCTTTTTGACGAGAAAGTATGAAGGTACATTGTTGGTGGCCACTGCACCAGATAGCAAGAATTACACATACCCCGTTACATGGTGTATGGTTGACTTTGAGAACAACAAGTCGTGAACTAGTTTTTCCAACAATTACTTACGATAATGTCTGACAGTGACGAGTTATGCATAATATCCAATAGGCACAACTCTATAAAGAAGGGGATTGTCACTATTTACCCCCAAGCATATCACGGATTCTGTATGAGGCACCTTGGCGAGAACATAAAACAAAAGTTTAGGTGTGTTGACCTCTTTTAGACATACTACATGGTAGCAAAAATTTATCGAGTTGATGAGTTTTAGGGGCACTTCCGGCAAATCCGAATCAAGGATAATAGAATTGCTAAGTATCTTGAGCATGATATTGGTTTCAAGCGATGGAGTAGAGCTTACTTCCCTGGAAGAAGGTTCGATGTCATGACCACTATTAATATTTTTGTCAAACTTATGTTATGGTGACACATTTTGTCAAGTGGCATTTTCTCTTTGATTGTCATGCCCATCAAGCTTGTTTTGATTCATGATATTCTTTGTGACCTAACTTTATATGTGTCACAATTTTCTTATGTGATCCTAAAAGGTTGTAAGACTTTGTTTGTGGTCCTCTAAGAAAGAGAAAAGATATGTTTGTGGTCCAACAAAAAGTTGGAATTGTTTTTGTCCTCCACGTGTTTAGCTATGTCAAACTTATGCCTTTTGCATTTTCATTTCATGTGTGTTCACAGTGGATGTGTGCTTGCACACTTATGTCAAACATATGCATGTTGCATTTCATTTCGCATTTTACATCGTGTGTGCACACACTTTTTTGCTGTGCTAACATCTCATGTTTGACTCACTTTGCACAAGTTGCATTTTTATCTTTATCAGTTGAGATATTTTCTTTGCATTTGTTGTGCTGTCATGAAGACCATCTACAGGTGTCCTAATATCCTCTTGTGGTCCAGGGTAATAAGTTTTTTTTTCCTTTTTTTGGTTGTGGTCCCAAAAGATAGATGAAATCTTTTCCATTTTTGGACCAACATATGTAGCCCTTGTTTGCTGACTTGGCAAGAATTGGGGAGCACGAAATTGGTCTATATCTTCTTCATTATTGCTCATATGTGAACTAACCTTTATGTTTGTTTCTCGTGACCCACACCCACTGTACAACCGCCATAATTCACCCTCAACACCACCAATTGCAAGCAAGGGACGCCACACGCGTGATATGGTTAGAAGCTTAGGGGTTTTGGTTAGGGCAAATCCCCAAACAGGAAAAGATGTGGCGGTGGCCGAAAAATGCAATTACAACTCAAAATCACAGCACAAATCAACACGCTTCCAAAATCAATCAACACCGACACCAATTAAGCCCAAAATTCAACAATTTCGCAAAACCCTAATTGGGGTGGTGGCCAACAAATGGCAAACTGTCGTGGTTGGGGAAGATGGAGTTTTGGTGAGGGATGGCCGATGGTTACAAAAGTGGCCTCAAGGAAGGTTTCCAACAATGAAATTAGCTAAAAAAAGGGAAAAAAGCACGACACAATCAAGTTGGTGGTGGCTAGCAAACGATGGGTTCAATTAGTCGAGAAAGTTATGGTTTTTAAAGGGGTCAAGTGCGTGAAGATGGTTGGGTCATGGGGTATCTACAGTGTTGGAATCAAGCCGATTGAGCTTAAACACAACAGTTGCATGGTGAGGGAGTGGCAACAAATGGTGGTGCAAACGGTTGGGGGTTGATAGGGTTTTGTTAATTGACCGTCCTACCCTTATTTATAACAGACTTTTAACCATCCTATCCTTCTCCACAACCAAATTTATTTACGGAATTGTGCTTTAGGTGGAAAAGTGTCATTAGACCATTATTTGGGTGGAAAAAAGTCATTTACTCTAATTAAATTTGTCAAAGTGTCTTTATGCCAATCTTAGTGGAAAAATTGTAATTCGGCCTTATAAAAAGCTGAACATTTTGAAAAATATATTTCATTTGACAAACATATAAGCTCTTTTATCATTAACGTAATGGAAGAATGAAAAATACAAATATCATAAAACAATATAAAAAGAAAAAACCTATCAATGAAGTTTTACAAATCTAATTGCTATGCAGCAAAGGTTGTATAAGCAAAATGCTGTAACCAAAAAGAAAACAAGCGGAGCTCCTAATGAACCTAAGAGAGTAAAACTTGAATAAGGTATATGATCGCATTATCTATACCTATATTTAGTAATATCATGTCTGTTCACAGAACTCGGTAGCTTATACGACCATCGATTGTTTCAACACGTAAAAGATTTAGACGTGTGAGCAGCAGTAGATAAGCTCTGGCTTTGTGTCCTGAATGAAAACAAGAGCAAAAGATGTGAAATATGTTAAAAAGTACTGCTATTTGTATGTGTACCAAAAACAGCAGTACTGCTATTTGTATGTGTACCAAAAACAGCAGTACTGCTATTTGATAACTATGAAAACGTACAATTTAAAAAAAAAAAAAAAAAAAAAAAACTGGCTGGATATACATACCCAGGTCCAAAGATGCAATTTCGTCCTGCTGGAAGTAGTCACATCCTTTTGTTTTCTCCTTTCTCATTTTTGAGTTGATCTTCTCGACAGCAACAAGCAGATCCTGTTACTCAATAATGCACCAGCAAGATTATTAAGCTATTAGCTATAAAATCCTAAATAAAGCCATTCAAATATGCATGCAACATATTTTAATCAAAAGGCAATTCCATGTTGTAAGAATATTGATAAACAGAAGAACTAATTTTTTGGCCCTTGGCATACCCTATTTAGAACTGAAGCCTTGTCTCATTTCTGCTGCTTGCTCATTGAGATATGAGAGAAACTATAAAGCAATTATAGTATATAAAGGGCATAATGGCAGTGGCAACTCAATTGCATTAAATTATCCAGGAAGCATGATGCAACATACAGCTTCGAAATGTTCCATTCCAGCTATCATACTAAATGAATTCCTAAACAGATTAAAGTCCTCATCGACGGTTTATATTTTTTAATTTCAAGTAGAGATACAAAACCATTAGCCTAAGGATGTAACCGACAAGGCAAAGAAACAAGCTTCAGTTTGTTACATGACAATTGCTTACTGTGTGATTTTAACAGAGCAAATATAATTGTTATAGAAGACAGAGAATCTGATACTTATAAACCTTGGCAAAAGAGTATTAACCAGTGATCAGTCAAGCTTTCCAACATTCAAGAATTGCTGAAAATAGAAAAGGATACAGATTTTGTGGGGTTTAAATTTCCTTGAGTTCCAAGACAGATTCACATTTTACCATCTTATTTCTCCAAATTCAATAAAAGTCATTCCCTTTAGTAACCCCCAAATTATTTATAACATAATGTTCTTTTAATAAATTATCACGAGAAACATAAAAAATTTCATACCTCCCATGAAGTTAGGGTTTTCATGTAGGACGGAATGCTGTCATAGTCATCCTTCGATACCTTTATTACAGGACCAGTAGCTTCAAAGGACATTGGCTCATCTTTCAGTTCCCCTACTTTCACAATAAATGATAACTATAATCATTACACTCATTGATGCGATATAATGAAACTCTTAACGGACTATTTTCTTTCTACCTTCCATCTTCATAGTATGGTGACTTGGATCCTTTATCTCATGCAGTTTGTCCCCGTAACATCTAATATTGAAAGAATTAGAGCAAGTGCTAAGAAAAGAGCTAACAGAGCTTTGCTCAACCTTGAGCAACACAAAAAGTTTTAAGAGCTCAAAAACTTACTTCATTGGTTCTTGGAAACACATATCTTGGTCATCAGTGCTATCATTATCAACTAAAACAGAAAGCCAGAGTAGGCATTAGTAGCAAGCATTACAAGTTTGGTTATAAATTGAACCAACTGAAATTTTAGTTTATAGAATTATTAAGAAACGTTTTAGCCATGAAGCAATTGTTACTCGCCTTCAGATGCTAAAGTGGCAAGACAAACATCTGACAGCCCAAGATTCTTTAAACTCAATGATTCATCAAGCCTAAAGAAAATCAAGGAAAACAGAATTCTTCGCATCAATGAGATTTTCTCATAGTTATTAACCTATACTTCCAACTTGTAAAGAATCTTTTGCAGATCTCAAAATAATTGTAACTTATACACTTCCTTCAGTTGCTGCACCTCCAAATTTAACAGTATGGTTTTCTCACTAAAGAGAGGGGAAAAATATCAATTCAACCAAGCCTAATATTGAACTATTTGTCATCATCAAGTTCAATATCTCAACTTATTTTGCCTTTTGTTCCCATTCTTGCGTTGTTAACTGGCATGTAATGTTACCTTTCTTGCATTGTTAACTACCTCAATAATGTTACCGGTCAGTACCAACATGCCAAAATTTCCAACAAAATAAGAAAACTAGTCAACATTGTAAACAAGGATACAGAGTGTCTTCTTCCAAGCTCTTCATGACTGAACGCGAAAAAGAGATTGGTGATGATGACTCCATCTCATCCTTTGAGTCTAAACCAAAAGGTGTCGACAAACTGCAACCCTCATCTTCATCATCAATCTTGAATTCTAAGCTCACACTCACCAACAAACAAAGCTCAACACTATTAATTCCAGTAAACAAAATTTTAAAGGAAATGATTACATCATTGCACCTAACCAGTAAAATAAATACATGAGTACGGAGCATATTACATTATAACCCATCTCGTTAAAAGTCTTACTTTTGTGCTACAACTTGCATATATCTTTCACAAATTTTACATTGACGCTTTACATACAGGGAGCACTATTGTACCAGCCTAGTAATTTCAAGACGCCATTACAATGTTATTGTATAAGACAAGTACATTCTATTTCACTAAGATGATGTAGTATACTATTCAAATTTATTACCACTTTAAGGTTTGAATGCTACTAATATGACAATTTTTTATTAAGAAACCGCAGTCTCCAGTACCGTTACCGGATTGACCCAATTTTATAATACCCTTTTGTTTGTTTGCTAAGAAAATGAAAGAAAACACAAGAAAATTGAATACCCTTATAGCCCAAATCAAAACTATATCCTTCATCTACATTTCTCATGTGCAATTTAACAGCTGATGAAAATTAACGAAAAAAAGAGACAAAATGAAGAAACTACTCATGATAATCACTAACCACAAAGATCATTCCAATTTCAAAATACATTTTTTGTTTGTTTACTAAGAAAATGAAAAGAAAAAAACACAAGAAAATTGAACTGAATAATTTTTTTCAAAAAAAAAAAAAAAAAAAGACTCATAATTGTATAAAAATAAAATACCAGGAATATTATTGAAGGTTTTAAGGCGATCATGGAGTTGAAGAAGATGGGTTTGGTTGGTCTTGTAAACTTCATTGCAGTGTCCTAATAACTCCTCAAAAGAGACAGTACCAAACGACATCGAATCGAGCAAATTGAGATCAGAAGTGACGGTTGAAACGCGGCGGTTGAGGCACTGGATGAAGGTTGAAGAAGCTGAATCGAGAGGGATGGGACGCCGCTGCACAGATTGCTTCAGAGCTTCGCAACTGTTGTCTACATGGTTGCAGAAATAAGCTAGGGTTTTGCAGAGGTTTGAAATGGTTTCCTCCATTTTCGTTGTTGAGCTCCAAGCGGGTATTCTTCTTCTTCAGTTTCTAGTTCTCCTTTGTTGGTGAAATGTTTGAATTCAAAATTTGGAACAGGAATTGTTCGCTACAAATGGTTTTTCAGGGGTGTAAATGTAACATTTTCAATTTTGGATTTGAATGAAATGGGCTCCAAATGGTTTTTCAGGGGTGTAATTTTATATTGGATTTAACCTGGCTACAATACAAATGTCAAATGGGGTGTAAATGTAACGATTTGAATTTTGGATTTGAGTTGGAATTGGCTACAAATGGTTTTTTATAAGTGTCAATGTAACGTTTTCATTTCTTACAAACGGTTCCAATTTTCAGGGGTGTAAATGTCACGTTTTCATTTTCGGATTGGCTACAATTTGTTTTTCAGGAGTGTAAATGTGACGATTTCATTTTTGGATTCGAATTTTGAATTAGGTACATAAAAGTAATGTTTTCATTTTCGGGATTAAAGTATAGATAAAATTATTTAAAAAAAAAAAAGCGAGCGGCGCCTGTAGCTCAGTGGATAGAGCGTCTGTTTCCTAAGCAGAAAGTCGTAGGTTCGACCCCTACCTGGCGCGAAAATTACCATGAATTTAATATTTTGGAAAACTTTTTAGGCCCATATATTTTGAAATTTTCTTTTAGGCCCAGAACCAAATTTGTGAAACTTTTTAAACTTACCTTGTTTAATTTTAATATGTTCTGACCAAAAAAAAAAAAAACCTTGATATGTTAAGAAATAATTTTAGTCCAAATTTATTTTAATAATTTCACATTAATCCCTATGTTTTGTTTGTTTTAATAATTTTAGGTCCAAAACTTATGGTCCATTTGTTTTAGTATTTTGGATAGTATTTTTGAAAAAGTAAGAGTTGGGTGGGAATAAAGATTTAAGATTTGAAAATTAACAAACTAAGTTTGTTAATTTACTAACACCCCCGTAATAAAAACATTAAAAATTATAAAAACACCCCCGTAATAAAAACATTAAAAATTATAAAAACACCCCCACCCACCCATTAAATATCGACACCCGACCACCACTGTCAGAGGGTGGTTGGAGTCGCTGTATCGACGCACAACTAGCTGAATTTGGCTGGTCGTGCGCTGAGATGGCATTTTCCAACTCTACGGCCAAATACGACTGTCGACAGCCAGATCTTTAGTCGTAGATCTGGTCTTTTCCGGCTAGATCCACATTAGATCTGGCCGAAAAATGATAGATCAGTGCACTACCAGCTAGATCCAGTCGGTAGTGCGCATTATACCAGATTCCAACCACCTTCTGGCGGTGGTGGTTGGAATCTGAAAAATATGGGTGGATGAGGGTATTTTTGTCAATTTCTAAACTTTTTTGGGAGTGTTTAGTTAAATTAACAAACTTATGGGGTTTTAAAATAATTAAATAAAATAAATAGAATTTTCAGAATAGGAAACAAATGTGTATTTTAGGTAGAATAGAAATAGGATAGTACAAAAATAATTAAACAAACGAACGTGTTTCTTAGAATATATTTTAGGTTTAAATTCGTTTTAATATTTTTATTTCAATCCCTTTTTTTTTTTTTTTTTGAAACAATTTTTTTTTTTCAGTCTTGAAACTAACCTTGACATTTTATAGAATATTATATGTACAAATTAGTTTTAATAATTTCTAAGTTAATCCTTTTTTTTTTTTTTTGGCAACTAACCTTGGTATTTTTGTTTTTAAAATATATGTAGGCCCAAATTTGTTTTCTTAATTTTTTTTTGATCCCTGATTTTTTATTTCACAAAAGCTTCTCTTTTCTAGAATAAATCTAGGTCCAAATATATTTTAAGAATTTCACTTTGGTCCCATATTATTTAGGCCCAAGAATAGATAGAACAGATAATGAAAAACAGAAAAATTAGGAAAACAATAATGAAGGCAATCCAAGTAACTCTTGGTATATTTTATGGATTTGATTATAATTTACAACTTTTATGCATTACATAAAACAGGTAAGAGGAGAAAAGTGACAAGCTCTTTATGTACAACAAAAGTCCCTCAAAGCAAATTTTTCTGTTCTAACTTCATGTGAGCTCTCCTCTAAGAGCACTGGCAGCCCTTTGAATGGCTCTGGCAACCCTCCACACCTCATGCTGAATCAATGCCTGCCCATCTCTCTTGCTCGTTTTTGTTGATTGAGATATCGCGTTCGCTATTCCAGGAAAGAAACCCAGTTTGCTTTCGTAGTCACTAGGAGGTCCGTAAATCTACAACGAATAGCGCCATTGTCATGATATTTCGTTGAACACACAAAAGGATTGTTTTGTAAGCAGTGGTAATGAATTAAGAAGGAAAATACTTACAAGATGTTTGAACCATTTCCTTCCTTGAAGGCCATCTGCATCCAGGAAGCCTCTTTCAGCGAGCATCAGCCGATCATTCAAAGCTCGAATCTTCAGAACAGGAACATGACCTATGGTTTCTTGCTCCATCAGTCTCTAGACTCGAAGAAATAGAAAAACATGTTAGTGATCATATGATGAAGGATCTAAAGTTACAATCATAAAGTTTCGATAATTTTCTTTTTTTTCTGAATTTCACCTTCGCTTCTAGTTCAGCTTCTTTAGCTGCAGTGGTAAGTTCTTGTATTGCCATGGTTAAAGGATCTAAAGATACGCTCCCATCCAACAAGTTGCTCAAGATATCTTTATGCGCCTGCCAAGGAGGAACAAGGTTTATAAGGGAAATTACACATTTACACAAATTTTAAAAATTGTAAAGCAGGATCCACTTCACAATCTTCATTTAAAATTCTTAGGACTTTTCTTTATGCCATTATGATTCTTTCTTTTTCTTCCTTTTTATGAGTGCTCATTAATAAGCCACCTCGATTGAATAGGATAACATTTTTTCTAAGCTTAAAAATCCCATCTAAATTTCCCAGCGAAACATCAATGCTTTCCAAATGAACATAGCTAGATGAAAATTACAGACTACTAGGACATTCCAATCAGCGAGTTTAAATCATCTGAGTCCAAACCCGGATTTGCCTTCATTCACATTATCTAAATGAACCAATATCATAATTCAACTCAACTCAACAATGCCTATACTTTGATATCAACTTATTGTTGATAATATTTCACAGGGAGAAAACAAAAAAAGAAAACTTGAAGAACCTTAGCATACCTGTAATTGATCGGCATAAGAGAGGTAATTGAAATGTAAAATCGAGTCATCAGCCAGGCGAAGGGCTAGAAGTCCCCAAACTCCGGCAACTAAAGCAACAATAAACAAAAAAGTGATATTATTCTAAAGAAGTGATGATAAAATTAATGATTCATAATGTATAAAAATAATTTGTCTGTGGGTCAAAAGGAATGAGAAAGCTAACCAGCCACATGCCGCAGAAATAATGGATCTGCGTGGTTTACCATCCAGGTGTACGAGTCATAAGCAGTATGATAGACAGGAAAATCTGTTTGCCAGTGAAGATCCATAAATTACTAACCGCTTAGCCTCAAAAACCATACTTTTTCTAGTCAAATTACATGGAAACATTCAAATAATCACAATTAATATAACACCATTTCTCGACAATATTGAGATATTCTTCAAATCGCTGTTGTGAAGTAGAAAAATGAACACTTCAATTTTTTGTTATCTATACAAAGTTACGCAAAACTTGGATGCAATATCTGCTCAGCCTCAACTTGAACCAAAAAAAATTGCCAATAAAGTTCTAGGGAGAGCCATACCTCTTCCATAATATACGTCAACAGAAGGAATCCCAGCATGCTGCAAAAAAGGAGCAAAATCTGAATCCACTCCACTGAGTCTTTGGATCTGCAAACCAGACAAGACAACCCAATTACATATACTGGAAAAATTTCATGTCTCCAAGAAGACAATAGCACAAAGGACAAAAGCTTGACTGCATGAGACACCACCAGGTACTGTTAAAGCCCTAGGGGGAAAAGAAAAAAAAAATAAAATAAAATAACAGGAGGGATTATTCTCGTTCAGCTAGTCCCTTGTTTCTTTTATAGTAGTAAATCAGCAGGATGTCAAAATAAAACAGAAGTGTAAATGTAGATATAATAACAGATATTAAACCCTTACATTGACAACACTGTTTGTAGCTGCCCACTGATCATATACAGTCACACCATCTGAATCAGGATCTTTGACCTGAAATTATATACAAAAGTTAGGGATCAGACCAGGGATGAAACTAGTTCGTGATCAAAGAAACCAATCAAAACATTTTGAAATTATTGTCACTTCATCCCCTTGTTAACTTACGTTCTTTGTCACCTCAATTAGAAGATTATCTAGCTGAGGAGTTGCTCCAGCAAAGAATCCGGGCCCTTGAACCGCACAATCTACATTAAGATAGGCCACCACTTTGGCACCCAAATTGACAAGGTTCTGTTCAACCCACTCGGTGGATCCAACCTGAAAGCATAAGTAACCAATATGCAAACTTGAGTCGAAAACTTAAGTGCACAAAAGTATTCCAAAAAAAACTCTCTTTTATCCTGTATTCCCTAAGGTATCTATGACATATACGGACCGAGCTCTTGTCAGTTAACAGCATGCATGTAGAGACATTAACAATGGGGTCCCACAACTGCCTCCAAATTCAAACAAAATATTTGTTCTTTACTTCAGTTCAAGTTGCCTGCCACTAACCAATAAACTAATTTTCACAATTAAGATCAGTGCAACAGCCATATTTAACAGGAAGTAAAATATGAAAATCATTTAAGGACCTCTCTATTTTAAATTGAAATAATGGAACTTTAGACTGTTTGTCAAAAAATGTGCAGCACACTAAATGATGATAGGTGGCAATTGGAACAACTGAAAGGAGTTGAAGCTGCAAGGCAGCAAGGATAAAGCAAGATATTATATGTCGTAGAATTTCTTTTCCCTAAACATGTAAAATTGCTGAGAAAGAAATAATCGGGTTCTAGTCAAGTATATGGGCCCTCATTCTCACAAAGTACAATAACTGCAAATTATTTACATTTAAGACAACACGTTGCAGCCAGTTGATATAATTCTTTCCGCCAGTTGATATAATTCTTTCCAAAACAAAATATCATTACAAGGATTTGAAAATCAGCATCTAACAGACTGCAAGTATATACAAAACCAAACACATAATGATCAGTGAAAACTGATTATTACCTACCATCCCAAATTCTTCGGCATCCCAGCTGCAGAGAATAATTGTTCTTCGAGGGCTCCACCCTTTGCGCATCAACATAGCATATCGTCGGGCAATGTCAAGTAGGGCTGCTGTACCGCTGTTTGGGTCAACAGCCCCATATGTCCATGCATCTCTATGGTTGCCAAGGAGCACGTAGCGATCAGGCTCTTCTAGCCCTCTTATAACAGCAAAAATATTCTGAATTGTTGCCACCTTTTCTTCCCCCTAGAAGAACAGAGAAACTTTTTATATAAGCCATATTTGGAAACAGTTTGCCACAAGAACTAGCATCAGAAAGCAACAATATCATTTTTCCTTATTTTGTTCTTTTCCCAAACATTGTATTAGAAGAAAAGGAGAACATGAGGCAACACATAGAAATGCAATTTCAAGTCAATAAAACACTTGCACCAAAAGGAATTAAAACCATAAAAACATGTGATAAGATGAAACAACCAAAAATCTTAACCTTAAGTTCTTACACTAAAATCCTCTCCAACAAACAGAGGTAGGAACCTAATTTTATCAACCTCGAGTACAAATTCCTCAATCCATTAGATAACACATATCCACACACGAAGCAAGAAGCTGGTCCATGTCAGGTACCAGAAACCAACCTACAAACTTACTCAACAGAATTCCACATGTCTCTTTACAAACATAAAAAATTTCATTCAATTTCAACCATCATCCTAAGACTATGCATGACAGTCAATATACCACGATTGACTAGACACTTGCCCAAATTGGAATTCTTTGTCCCAAGTCCAAATTACAACTTTTTCGGAAATATATCAATCAACATATCAAATTCTCAAGATTTTTACAAAAAAACTCAAGAGATAAAGATGGTCAAAAGTTGCATGTATTTCAATTCAATCCACACAACCTAAGCAAATCAAAATTCCAGCAACTAAAAAAAGTAAATAATACCAAACAAGAAATCAAAAATAACTTTGATAGAACAGTAAAGACCAAAGTGATACAAAACAGCTTCCCAACAAAAATTTGACCAAATGATGCATCAAATCAAACAAACAAACAATCAACCAAGCAAGCAAGCAACCTGGTAAGTCAAATTCACCAAAGTAGGTCCTGGGCCGACCCTCCCACCATTAACCCGACCCAAATCACCCCAAGACTGAGGCATAAACCCACCAGCAAGAGACTCCAAAATGGTTTGAGCATTCTCAAAAGACAAGGGCAAAGATGGAATTTTAGGAAACCTCTTCAAAACCTCATTGTCTTTCAAGTCTAAGCTCTCCCCACCTTCAACCCCAGCCCACCCTGGACTTAGTGGGTCCCCCACTCCTCTCATCACTGTCCCTCTCTCCACCCCATCAACACCATCCCTCTCGGCGTACAATAGCACTCCCAACGCACCTTTACCCTCAGCTATTGTTATTACACCACCTCTTGACAAGCTCTCCCCTTTCCTTGCCATCACCAGACACCCACTAACATTCACCCCCATCACCTCCAGCGCACGATAGTCCTCCTCCCTCCCGTAATTCACAAACACCACCTTACCGTACGCCGACCCAGATGGCGAATACGCATGATACGGCTGCACAATGTCAAATAACGCATTCTGAGCCACACCCTTTTCAGTTAACGAGAAGTTAACAACACCCCCGTCGCTAAAATGCGCCAGGAGAGAAACATGTTGAGGATAAGACAAAAGGGCATTATACTTGACCGTGTGAGCTTCAAGACCAAGCTGTTCAAAGTGTGAAAAGACATATTGTATTGTATCCAAAGAGGGCTTAGTGCCGGCGAGGTGAGAGTGTGAAGTGAGGGAACGGAGATAGTCTGAGAGGGTGAAGTTTGAGGCCAAAGAGAGAAACTTAATGGAATTTTCAGAGAGGGGTGTAGAGTAAGAACGCTGGGGGTGATGCAGGGAATAAAAACCCAGAATGCAGAGGATAAGAAAGAGGAGGAAGGAGACAATAGGCGGCGGCGGTTTAGAAGGGAAAGTGAAGAGGGAGGTGGAGGTGAAGAGTTTAAAGGAGGTCAAAGGCATTGTGTAGAGAGAGAAAGTTAGGGTTTTGATGGAGTTAACAGTTACAGAGGGAGAGTTTTGGAGTTTATGGGGGGGTGAGTGGCAGAGCAGGGTGGTGACACTGAAGCTGAAGTGAGGGAGTTGGGCGTCCAGGTTTAAAAGTGCCTCTTTTTAACTTTTTATTTTGGCTTTTGGTGAGAATGATTCATGCATGGTGAGAGAGTGGGGCCATGAATATTATAAGTAAATTAGGCAAGGAAATGTATGTTGATTGACATATAATATCAATACATATTTCCAAGAATGAATATTATATAGTTATAGATGAATGAATATTATATAGTTATAGATGAGTAGAAGAACAAGATTTAATGTTTAGGGAGGCGTTTCCAATATAACAAACAATGTACGTTAGAGTTAAAATTAAATGTTTCAAACAATGAAAAATTTCAAACTTAAGAAAAAAAATAAAATAAAATAACAGGAGGGATTATTCTCGTTCAGCTAGTCCCTTGTTTCTTTTATAGTAGTAAATCAGCAGGATGTCAAAATAAAACAGAAGTGTAAATGTAGATATAATAACAGATATTAAACCCTTACATTGACAACACTGTTTGTAGCTGCCCACTGATCATATACAGTCACACCATCTGAATCAGGATCTTTGACCTGAAATTATATACAAAAGTTAGGGATCAGACCAGGGATGAAACTAGTTCGTGATCAAAGAAACCAATCAAAACATTTTGAAATTATTGTCACTTCATCCCCTTGTTAACTTACGTTCTTTGTCACCTCAATTAGAAGATTATCTAGCTGAGGAGTTGCTCCAGCAAAGAATCCGGGCCCTTGAACCGCACAATCTACATTAAGATAGGCCACCACTTTGGCACCCAAATTGACAAGGTTCTGTTCAACCCACTCGGTGGATCCAACCTGAAAGCATAAGTAACCAATATGCAAACTTGAGTCGAAAACTTAAGTGCACAAAAGTATTCCAAAAAAAACTCTCTTTTATCCTGTATTCCCTAAGGTATCTATGACATATACGGACCGAGCTCTTGTCAGTTAACAGCATGCATGTAGAGACATTAACAATGGGGTCCCACAACTGCCTCCAAATTCAAACAAAATATTTGTTCTTTACTTCAGTTCAAGTTGCCTGCCACTAACCAATAAACTAATTTTCACAATTAAGATCAGTGCAACAGCCATATTTAACAGGAAGTAAAATATGAAAATCATTTAAGGACCTCTCTATTTTAAATTGAAATAATGGAACTTTAGACTGTTTGTCAAAAAATGTGCAGCACACTAAATGATGATAGGTGGCAATTGGAACAACTGAAAGGAGTTGAAGCTGCAAGGCAGCAAGGATAAAGCAAGATATTATATGTCGTAGAATTTCTTTTCCCTAAACATGTAAAATTGCTGAGAAAGAAATAATCGGGTTCTAGTCAAGTATATGGGCCCTCGTTCTCACAAAGTACAATAACTGCAAATTATTTACATTTAAGACAACACGTTGCAGCCAGTTGATATAATTCTTTCCGCCAGTTGATATAATTCTTTCCAAAACAAAATATCATTACAAGGATTTGAAAATCAGCATCTAACAGACTGCAAGTATATACAAAACCAAACACATAATGATCAGTGAAAACTGATTATTGCCTACCATCCCAAATTCTTCGGCATCCCAGCTGCAGAGAATAATTGTTCTTCGAGGGCTCCACCCTTTGCGCATCAACATAGCATATCGTCGGGCAATGTCAAGTAGGGCTGCTGTACCGCTGTTTGGGTCAACAGCCCCATATGTCCATGCATCTCTATGGTTGCCAAGGAGCACATAGCGATCAGGCTCTTCTAGCCCTCTTATAACAGCAAAAATATTCTGAATTGTTGCCACCTTTTCTTCCCCCTAGAAGAACAGAGAAACTTTTTATATAAGCCATATTTGGAAACAGTTTGCCACAAGAACTAGCATCAGAAAGCAACAATATCATTTTTCCTTATTTTGTTCTTTTCCCAAACATTGTATTAGAAGAAAAGGAGAACATGAGGCAACACATAGAAATGCAATTTCAAGTCAATAAAACACTTGCACCAAAAGGAATTAAAACCATAAAAACATGTGATAAGATGAAACAACCAAAAATCTTAACCTTAAGTTCTTACACTAAAATCCTCTCCAACAAACAGAGGTAGGAACCTAATTTTGTCAACCTCGAGTACAAATTCCTCAATCCATTAGATAACACATATCCGCACACGAAGCAAGAAGCTGGTCCATGTCAGGTACCAGAAACCAACCTACAAACTTACTCAACAGAATTCCACATGTCTCTTTACAAACATCAAAAATTTCATTCCATTTCAACCATCATCCTAAGACTATGCATGACAGTCAATATACCAGGATTGACTAGACACTTGCCCAAATTGGAATTCTTTGTCCCAAGTCCAAATTACAACTTTTTCGGAAATATATCAATCAACATATCAAATTCTCAAGATTTTTACAAAAAAACTCAAGAGATAAAGATGGTCAAAAGTTGCATGTATTTCAATTCAATCCACACAACCTAAGCAAATCAAAATTCCAGCAACTAAAAAAAGTAAATAATACCAAACAAGAAATCAAAAATAACTTTGATAGAACAGTAAAGACCAAAGTGATACAAAACAGCTTCCCAACAAAAATTTGACCAAATGATGCATCAAATCAAACAAACAAACAATCAACCAAGCAAGCAAGCAACCTGGTAAGTCAAATTCACCAAAGTAGGTCCTGGGCCGACCCTCCCACCATTAACCCGACCCAAATCACCCCAAGACTGAGGCATAAACCCACCAGCAAGAGACTCCAAAATGGTTTGAGCATTCTCAAAAGACAAGGGCAAAGATGGAATTTTAGGAAACCTCTTCAAAACCTCATTGTCTTTCAAGTCTAAGCTCTCCCCACCTTCAACCCCAGCCCACCCTGGACTTAGTGGGTCCCCCACTCCTCTCATCACTGTCCCTCTCTCCACCCCATCAACACCATCCCTCTCGGCGTACAATAGCACTCCCAACGCGCCTTTACCCTCGGCTATTGTTATTACACCACCTCTTGACAAGCTCTCCCCTTTCCTTGCCATCACCAGACACCCACTAACATTCACCCCCATCACCTCCAGCGCACGATAGTCCTCCTCCCTCCCGTAATTCACAAACACCACCTTACCGTACGCCGACCCAGATGGCGAATACGCATGATACGGCTGCACAATGTCAAATAACGCATTCTGAGCCACACCCTTTTCAGTTAACGAGAAGTTAACAACACCCCCGTCGCTAAAATGCGCCAGGAGAGAAACATGTTGAGGATAAGACAAAAGGGTATTATACTTGACAGTGTGAGCTTCAAGACCAAATTGTTCAAAGTGTGAAAAGACATATTGTATTGTATCCAAAGAGGGCTTAGTGCCGGCGAGGTGAGAGTGTGAAGTGAGGGAACGGAGATAGTCTGAGAGGGTGCAGTTTGAGGCCAAAGAGAGAAACTTAATGGGATTTTCAGAGAGGGGTGTAGAGTAAGAACGCTGGGGGTGATGCAGGGAATAAAAACCCAGAATGCAGAGGATAAGAAAGAGGAGGAAGGAGACAATAGGCGGCGGCGGTTTAGAAGGGAAAGTGAAGAGGGAGGTGGAGGTGAAGAGTTTAAAGGAGGTCAAAGGCATTGTGTAGAGAGAGAAAGTTAGGGTTTTGATGGAGTTAACAGTTACAGAGGGAGAGTTTTGGAGTTTATGGGGGGGTGAGTGGCAGAGCAGGGTGGTGACACTGAAGCTGAAGTGAGGGAGTTGGGCGTCCAGGTTTAAAAGTGCCTCTTTTTAACTTTTTATTTTGGCTTTTGGTGAGAATGATTCATGCATGGTGAGAGAGTGGGGCCATGAATATTATAAGTAAATTAGGCAAGGAAATGTATGTTGATTGACATATAATATCAATACATATTTCCAAGAATGAATATTATAGTTATAGATGAGTAGAAGAACAAGATTTAATGTCTAGGGAGGCGTTTCCAATATAACAAACAATGTACGTTAGAGTTAAAATTAAATGTTTCAAACAATGAAAAATTTCAAACTTAAGAATATTCTTCTTGGTTATGTAAATATCACTCTTTATTATTTACTTAAAATAATCACAATTTGAACTTATCCATCATTTAAAAGTATGATCTTACTAGTATATGTTAAATATCTCTAAAATAATAAGAATTTGAATTTATTGATCAATATTGATTTATTGAGCATACTAAGGGTATTACATTAAAGTGCTTATAAGTGACTGATAAGTAGTTGACATGTTTAATAAAATATAGTTTATAAGTACATTTTATTATAAAAAAAAAGGTACTACATTAAACATTTAAAATTAAACAAGGATAATATAGTGATATACTTGGTCAAACTAACTTATAAACAGAGTGTTTATAAGCAAAAAAAAAAAAGTACCTCACCCCCAATTTTTTTTTCTTATAAGCTCAAAAAAATTATAAACAAACAGGTTAACTTAATTTTAGAGCTTATAAGTTAGTTTAACCAGCTTATAAGCTTAAACAAACACTTTCTTGGACTCAATGATACTATAAATGGATTAAAAAAAAATATATATTACAATCCTACTAATAAATGCTAAATATTTCTAAAAGAATAATGTTGCATATACAAAGCTAGAATCGTAACTATGTATACATACTGATTGGCTAAAATCGATTTGATAGTTATCATCAATTCAATAATATTACAAGATCCTAGTAATACACGTCATATTTTTCCAAAATCATTGCTTAAAACAATCAGAATTTGAACTTTATCGATTGATATCGATTTGATGATTATCAATATAGATAAAATAAAGTAGGATCCTAGTAATACATGTCACTAAGAGAAGCAATTATCAATCTTTTTAGGGAGGAGGCCAACATGCTCATATGAAATCTTTTGTAAAGTTGCATATCTTTGCAAAAATAAATAAAAATACTAAGAATCCACAATTTGTGGCTATAAATGAACACAAACAAAACAAAAGGGGGGGAGTGGTAATGGCTTTGGCCAAAGAAAGCGACACAAAGCTTTACAAATGATCTATTTAGTTATGTGTTTTGTTTGTTTGTCGGTTGAGTTAAACACATTTTGGTCCCTAAGGTTTATAAATTTGAAAGTATCACTTAATTTTTTTTTTTTTTTTTTGGTGACTAATGGTGTTTGGGCCAACTTACGTATACATCTACTAATCCTCCGGGGTCTTGAAGTTAACGACCAAGGATACCCTCCACTCTACTGGTCATCCATATTAACAACTGAGATGACTTAAACTCAGAATTTTTTGAATAATACACTCAAAAGTCTTTGTCCAACCACTCAGTCACCTAAAGGTAATTCACTTAAATCTTCATTGATTGGTAATTGTTTAAAGTTTTTTTTTTTTTTTTTTTAAGTTTTAAAATATTCGTAATACATTAAAAAATTTAACATAATGACCATTTACTAGTGGTTTATTTTTTCTTTTTATGAGTCTATTAATCTAAGATGGCGTTTATATAACAAAATAAGAATAAGGGTATTTTAGACTTTTTCTAAAAATTAAAAAGTAGGTGGCTAACAAGGATTTAAATGTTATTTATATATTTTATTAGACCTATATGTGATTTGAACTAAATGAGGGACCAAAATGAGTTAAAATGTTTCTTTGCGGTGACAAGAGAAAGATAATGAGAATCTCTCATTTACTTTCACTTTGCATTTTTAAAATCTTTTCACAAAAGCATGAAGTGGATGCTCATGCTGATCTTAGTGGGGATCGCATTAAGTCTTCTCCTGTGCCCATGAGGTCCCTTACTAAAAAATTTAATTAATTAAAAAAAAAAAAAAAGAGATACCAACAATCATTGAATCATATACCATGCTTTTATAAAGAAAGGTATTGTTGAGATGACAACATGGTCCCTAATTAAATTTGATGGTCCAATTCTAACAAAGTTGATGACATCTTATTATTTCTTAAATAATTATTATATATCTTTGTTAATTCATAATCTTTATGTGTAATTAAGGTTTGCGTTAAATACAAATGGACGGGATAATAAGTTGAATATCTAATATAATTTTTCTTTTCTATTAATGACAAATCCTCTGATTCGTACACCGTATCTGTCATTTCTTATATTGATTAAGTAAGTTAGCATGTCTTTTATGTACACCAAATAGGTTATCACATTTAGTGATCTTTTTTATTGATAACAGGTTCTCTAGTCCATACACCGTCGACCCTCTAATCTATACATCGTCGACATGTAGCATCGGGTAATTAGACTTGATTTAAGGTGATATACTTTAAATGGAAATGGATTTTGACTTCATAGGAGTAGATAGTCTTTTTGGGTTCATAACAATAGCTAGACCCATGACAGTATACATATCCCAAAAGATAAAAATGGATATGCATTATCCTCAATAAATTAGTTTTAGCATATAATAGAAATGGATTGGATATTGAGTATCCAACATAATTTGTCTTTTCAACTAACCATAAATCTTGTTTTCTATTGAAGACAAATCCTACATTCCATACATAATAGCTCTCATCTTTTTAGTTGGTAGAGAAAGTTAGCATATCTTTCATGTCCGTCAAATAAGTTACCACACATAATGATCTTTTTAATCGATGAGAAATTGCTCTAGTCCATACACCATCAATACTCTAATCCATACACCATCAACATATATCATCGTGTAATTGGACTAAATTTCGAGTAATATACTTAAAATGGAAATAGATTCAATCTTGACTTCGTGAGAGTCTGTGCTCTAATCCATACACCATCAACACATAGCTTCGTGTAATTGGACTAGATTTTGCGAAATGTACTTAAAAATGAAAATGGATTCAATCTTGACTTCATAAGAGTTGGCAGTTTTTGGGCTTGATAACAATCATTAGGCCCATGACATTGCCCAGGTCCCAAAAACTTATACACAAACTGATACAAGATAAAATGAATCTAAAGTAAACTTTCCACTACATAATTGTCCATTTGTAAATAGAGCCACAGATATTGTATTTGTAAAATTAATCTTACATATCATTAGTCATAACTATATTTGGATGGTCAAGTGATTTAATAAAAACTCTTGGGTATATTACTTAAGAGATCCTAAGTTCAAATCTCTTCTCGGTTGCTAATAGAGATAACTACTGGAACTCTTAAGTAGTTCTAAGGTCCCGGAGGATTAGTTGAGGTGTACATAAACTGACCCAGACACCCCCGGTAAAATATATATATATATATATATCATTACTCATAATTATCACTAAAAATTCTTTCAAACTCCCACAATGGAACTATATGCTCCATAAACAGCAAAAACCAAACCAAAAGATAATATGAAAAGGTCCAAAGCCCTCCGCCAGAAACTCAAGGATGAACCTAACAATTTGAGGTGAAATGAGGCAGGCAAAACAAAAGAGAGTAGGGCACAAACAGTGCTTCCCACAAGTGACACGAAAGCTCCAAATCCAGGCACACATGAGGCCAAAGTCGCCAACCCTAAAACCAAAATTGCCCTGCTAATGTATATGCAAAACTTTGCAAAATTTGTCATTGAATTGTCAGAAGCCCTTCTGGGCAGCTTCTGAAACCATGTGCTTTTCTTCAACTTCTGTTCCACTATCTCGTGAACTGGATGTACCATAATTGGGAAGGTAAATATTAGCCCCAAGCACAACCCCATCTGCCAAAAAACATTAAATTAGTGATAGAAGTCGAAAAACATATCATATCGTCTCAGATTTCGGACTAAGTATTGATCTGTATTCGAAAACTGTTTTTGAGAACACTCTAGTTGTTGATCAAGGATGCATATGCAGACAAGAAAGGCTTATAACAAGATAAATGCATCAAACTTTATGGAGATATATTATATGCTTTTGGATAAGATGGATCATATTCAAACAAGTAGAAGATTCCAAGATCCAGTGTTACATGTCATTGACAACTATGAGACACAGAGAAAGGTAAACAGAAAGGCTTAAAGAATTGGCTTTTTAGATGAATAGAACTTGGCCTAATTCCAAAACTGGTCCTGAATAATCTTTCAAAAGTGTCATTTATAGTGGGGAACAAGCTCTAGAAACTTGAAGATTCAACCTTTAAATTATCGAACAAACCAAAACCAAGAAAAAAAAATATCATATCAACTATAAAAATGCCATCTTTATACTTGCCATACATCATATTTTATAATAAGTAACAGAGCCATATCTTTTAGATGCAGGAGCTGAACTTGATTCTAGATTTGGTCCAAATTTTTTAATCTCACTATAAATGTGCTTCAGAACAAACACTATAAACACTGAAAATCGAGGCGCGGATCAAATCTTGAAGATTGCTTACTACTCTTGATTAATGCTAAAAATACAAAATTTTGGACAAACTTCTGCAGATCAAAGATGACAAGATTTTGTCCTAAAAGGTTAACTTATGGTGATAAATGGTGGTCGAGATGAACTAACATTAATCTTCATTCTCTAAGTCCTAGAACTAAGCCAGATCAAATGCAGCATGTGACATGCAATAAATTGAGATAAACAATAAATTGCAAACATTAAACAGAAGTTAAGAAAGAGTAAATTAAAAGAAATTACCTGGACTACAATGGAAGACCAATTGTGGGGCAGATTGAGAGTGACAATATCCATAGTCTGGTCACCATAAGCCATGTAACCGAAAAAGCCAAATAAAACGTACACAAGAGTTACACCAGTGAAAGCCTGAGCCAATAGTTTCGAAAATCTGCCTCTCTCTTTCATTGATGATTCTAAAGCCAAAGTCATCCCAAACCCTTCAAAACAAAACACTGCCATGCCTCCGGCAAATGGCAGCCCTCCAATATGAGAAGTGATGGCTTCCCTGTCACCAAAAGAAAAATCTTCCCCGGCAATCATTTGCACATCTTGTTTGACCACTAGAGCCATGGCTAGCACATTGCAGATATTGGCGAAAATACTGAAAGGTGAAAGGGATGACAGAGAATTGATCCATGAGAGGACAATTTGAAGAGGGATTACTAAGAATATGAAGGAGGAGGATGTGAAATTGTGGCTTTTGAATATTGATGAGAGGTTTTGGCCAATGAAGACAAGATATGCAACAGAGCCTCCACATTGGGAAATGAAAATCAAGAACTCAGTTAAATATCTCCCTGTTGTTCCCATGCACTTGAATCCCAAATCCCCGTATGTTTTTGCCTCTTTTGATTCTTCTTCTGATGCCAAATTGTCCCTGCATTGAATCTGTGCTCAATAAATTATAAAAGCGCTCCAAAAATTATGAACCAATAGTTCATATGAAACGATAGATGATTGAATTGAAGGAAAAAACAAACAAAACTGCATCTGGGTTGTGAAAAATACTAAATTTATACACAAAGAAGAGAAAAGAAGAAGAAATTATAGAAGTGCTTCTAAAAAGTACTTTTTATAAAACAACAATTCATATGAAAAAATGGAAAATAACCTAATTTCTTTAACAGTTTCCACTGGGTTCTGCAGTGGGGAGGGAGCTCAAGGGTTAATAAACCCGTCAGCCCACAGGTAGCAGCAGTCCTCCCTAGGTCGACATCAAGACTCGTTACGCATGGTGGCTGGCTCTAATTTCAATTATTACAAGTTCACAGGGCTGGTTTCCAAAGGGAGGGAGCCCAAATACCAATAAACTACCTATTAATCTCATACTTAGTGAACGTATGATACTAACACGGTTTAAACGATGATCGAATGAAAACAAACAAAACTGCATCTGAGGTATGAAAAACACCAAATTTAAACACAAAAGGAAGCAAGGGAAACTAACCAGAAGAAGCATACAGTAATAAGTTGAGAGCCCTACAATAATGACACCAAGAGCTCCAGCAGCCCAGCCAGCCACTTTAAAGGCAAAAGGAAGGCCTAAAACGCCCGTGCCAACGATTGAAACGATGATGTTGCCTAAGGTTTGGTAGCTAGAGGCCGTTCCTGATGAGCTTGAGCTTTGCAGGAGAGGAACTTCAGTGGTTTTGTCAGCTTGATGTGCCATGGCGGATGCAATTAGAAGTGGGGTTGGGGGCACACGGAAGTTAGAAATTTTAAAGAATGAAGAAGAAGAAGATAAAGAAAATTACGAAAATGGCTAGAGGTTCATTCTCGATTGTGATAGAGTTGTCAGAGGAATTCTAGTTGAACGTAAAGTCTTCCTCTACATAATTCTAGGACAAGACAGATATAAGGACAAAGAAGATTTTGCTTTAATATATTTACCAACTTTTGGTAGATTATCCTTTTAGGTTCATAAACCAATAACAATGTTAACCCAATTTTGACAGACGTTGGAGTTGATCGACCATAATAATACATTCTAAAGGTTTTCAAAATTGTCAATAATGAGAGTATAAATTATTAGTAAATACGAAACTCTCACCTAAAATATCAATAAAAGATATTTATGGGTGGGTTTGGTTTATTATTTTGGGTAGGATTTTGGGGATAGTATTGGATAGTTGGATAGAGGAGTATTACGAGATAAAATTTAAAAATTTATAAAAAAGCCCCCAATGTTTGCTAATTTAATAAACACCCCAATATATTAAAATATTATAAAATGACTAAAACACCCCTACCACCCGCAATGCCAGATTCCGGCCACCACCGTCGGAATCTAGCCGAAAAATTGGATAACCACTCATACCGGTCGGATCTGGCAGGTATTCGATCGATATGGCATTTTCCGACCATATCCACCACAGATCTGGCCAGAAAAGGCCAGATCTAAGGCCGGATGTGGCCTTCGACGGTCGGAAAAGGCCATCTTTGATATGGCCGTCGTTGTCTGTCAACGACGGCCATTTCTTTGGCCGTCACCACGGATCTGGCCGGAAAAGGTCATTACTGGCCATTTTCGATGGTCGTGTGACTGTTGTGACAGATTTCGGCTACCATCGGCGGTGGTTGTCGGTGGGAGTGTTTTTGTTAGTTTTTCTGGCAGGAAAAGGTCAGATCTAGTCATTACTGGCCATTTTCGATGGTCGTGTGACTGTTGTGACAGATTTCGGCTACCATCGGCGGTGGTTGTCGGAATCTGGCAAGTATTGGTGGGTGGGGGTGCGATCTACAGAGTCCTTATGGCTTGCTCTTGAAAAAGAATAATCAAATCAAGCTTGTTACAGAACAGACATTCCATTCTTTGCTTCCCCAGCACTAACTGACCTCTCTGGTCGGATGTTGCAGTCGGCTCTACTTCTTAGTCAACTAGTAGTCTTTCAGTCGGAAATCGCTTTCACATCTCATATGACATCTGTACCAACAGACTTCTTCGGACACTAGTAGTCTTTTGTTAGTTTTAAAACTTTTTTTCTAGGGGGTATTTATGAAATTAATAAACTTATGGGATCTAAAAGTAATTTAAAAAATAGACTAATATTTTGGGAATGACATGCCAAACAACATTTGAAGAATAGGAATAGGAATATGGATAAAAACAATGAGCCAAACGCATCCTATATTTTTACATGTTTTAAATGATTAATTCAATTCAACAACATCTAATATGTGATCGGCTAACAATCGATTTGATATTATCATCTAGTTTCAATAATCTTGCAAGATCCTAACTACACGTCAAATATTTCCAAAATCATTGCTTAAACAATCAGAATTTGAACTTTATCGATTGATATCGATTGATGATTATCAATATAGATAAATAAAGTAGGATCCTAGTAATACATGTCACTAAGAGAAGCAATTATCAATCTTTTTAGGGAGGAGGCCAACATGCTCATATGAATCTTTTGTAAAGTTGCATATCTTTGCAAAATAAATAAAAATACTAAGAATCCACAATTTGTGGCTATAATGACACAAACAAAACAAAAGGGGGGATTGGTAATGGCTTTGGCCAAAGAAAGCGACCACAAAGCTTTACAAATGATCTATTTAGTTATGTTTTTTTTTGTTTTGTCGGTTGAGTTAAACACATTTTGGTCCCTAAGGTTTATAAATCTAAATTATCACTTAATTTTTTTTTTATTTTTTGTTGCTAATGGTGTTTTGCCACTTACTGTATACATCATACTAACTCCGTCTTGAAGTTACGACCAAGGATATCCTCCACTCTACTGGCCATCCATATTAACAACTGAGATGATTTAAACTCAAATTTTTTGAATAATACACTCAAAGTCTTTGTCCAACCGCTCAGTCACCTAAAGGTAATTACTTAAATCTTCATTGATTGTAATTGTTTAAAGTTTTTTTTTTTTTTTTTAAAGTTTAAATATTCGTAATACATTAAAAATTTAACATAATGACCATTTACTAGTGGTTTATTTTTTCTTTTTAAAGTCTATTAATCTAAGATGGCGTTATATATAAAGAGTATTTTAGACTTTTTCTAAAAATAAAAAGTAGGTGGCTAAAGGATTTAAATGTTATTTATATATTTTATTAGCCTAGTGAATTTGAACTAAATGAGGGACCAAAATGAGTTAAAATGTTTCTTTGCGGTGACAAGGAAAGATAATGAGAATCTCTCATTTACTTTCACTTTTCATTTTTAAAATCTTTTCACAAAAGCATGAAGTGGATGCTCATGCTGATCTTAGTGGGGATCGCATTAAGTCTTCTCCTGTGCCCATGAGGTCCCTTTAAAAAATTTAATTAATTAAAAAAAAAAAAAAAAAAAAAAAAAAAAAGATACCAAATCATTGAATCATATACCATGCTTTATAAAGAAAGGTATTGTTGAAGTGACAACATGTCCCTAATTAAATTTGATGGTCCATCTACAATCAATTGATGACATCTTATTATTTCTTAAATATTATTATATCTTTGTTAATTCATAATCTTTATGTGTAATTAAGGTTTGCGTAAATACAAATGGACGGGATAATGATTAATATCCAATATAATTTGTCTTTTCTATTAATGACAATCCTCTAATTCGTACACCGTATTTGTCATTTCTTATATTGATTAGTAAGTTAGCATGTCTTTTATGTACGCCAATAAGTCATCACGTGTATTGATTTTTTTTTATTGATAACAGGCTCTCTATTCCGTACACCGTCGACCGTCGACACGTAGCATCGTGTATTAGACTTGATTTAAGGTGATATACTTTAAATGGAAATGGATTTTGACTTCATAGGGTAGGTAATTTTTTTGGGTTCATAACAATAGCTAGACCCATGACAGTATACATATCCCAAAAGATAAAAATGGATTGCATTATCCTCAATAATTAGTTTTAGCATATAATAGAAATGGATTGATATTGAGTATCCAACATAATTTGTCTTTTCAACTAACCATAAATCTCTGTTTTCTATTGAACAAATCCACATTCCATACATAATAGCTCTCATTTTTTAGTTGTAGAGAAAGTTAGCATATCTTTCATGTCCGTCAATAAGTTACCACACATAATGATCTTTTTAATCGATGAGAAATGCTCTAGTCCATACACCATCAATACTCAATCCATACACCATCACATATATCATCGTGTAATTGGACTAAATTTCGGTAATATCTTAAAATGGAAATGATTCAATCTTGACTTCGTGGAGTCGTGCCTAATCCATACACCATCACACATAGCTTCGTGTAATTGGACTAGATTTTGCGAAATGTCTTAAAAATGAAAATGGATTCAATCTTGACTTCATAAGAGTTGGCAGTTTTGGGCTTGATAACATCATTAGGCCCATGACATTGCCATGTCCCAAAAACTTGTACAAAACTGATACAAATAAAATGATCTAAAGTAATATTTCCACTACATAATTGTCCATTTGTAAATAGAGCCATAGATGTTGTATTTGTAAAATTGATCTTAAATATCATTGGTCATAACTATCTCTGAATGTTCAGTAATTTGATAGGAACTCTAGGTATATTATCTCAGAGACTTCTAAGTTCGAATCTCTTCTCGGTTGCTAATAGAGTAACCACTGAAACTCTAGTAGTTCTAAGGTCTCGGAAGATTAATTGAAGTACACGTAAACTGACCTAGACACCCCTGGTATATATCACTAAAAATTCTTTCAAACTCCCACAATGGAACTATATGCTCCATAAACAGCAAAAACCAAACCAAAGATAATATAAAAGGTCCAAAGCCCTCCGCCAGAAACTCAAGGATAACCTAACAATTTGAGGTGAAATGGCAGGCAAAACAAAAGAGAGTAGGGCACAACAGTGCTTCCCACAAGTGACACGAAAGCTCCAAATCCAGGCACACATGAGGCCAAAGTCGCCAACCCTAAACCAAAATTGCCCTGCTAATGTATATGCAAACTTTGCAAAATTTGTCATTGAATTGTCAGAAGCCCTTCTGGCGCTTCTGAAACCATGTGCTTTTCTTCAACTTCTGTTCCACTATCTCGTGAACTGGATGTACCATGTTGGGAAGGTAAATATTAGCCCCAAGCACAACCCCATCTGCCAAAAACATTAAATTAGTGATAGAAGTCGAAAAACATATCATATCGTCTCAGATTTCGGACTAATATTGATCTGTATTCGAAAACTGTTTTTGAGAACACTCAGTTGTTGATCAAGGATGCATATGCAGACAGAAAGGCTTATACAAGATAAATGCATCAAACTTATGGAGATATATTATATGCTTTTGGATAAGATGGATCATATTCAAACAAGTAGAGATTCAAGATCCAGTGTTACTGTCATTGACAACTATGAGACCGAGAAAAAGCTAAACAGAAAGGCTTAAAGTATTGATTTTTCATGGCTTTTTAGATGAATAGAACTTGGCCTAATTCCAAAACTGGTCCTGATTAATCTTTCAAAAGTGTCATTTATAGTGGGGAACAGCTCTAGAAACTTGAAGTAATTCAACCTTTAAATTATCGAACAACCAAAACCAAGAAAAAAAATATCATATCAACTATAAAATGCCATCTTTATACTTGCCATACATCATATTTTATAATAAGTAACAAGCCATATCTTTTAGATGGCGAGCTGAACTTGATTCTAGATTTGGTCCAAATTTTTTAATCTCACTATAAATGTGCTTCGAACAAACACTATAAACACTGAAATCGAGGCGCGGATCAAATCTTGAAGATTGCTTACTACTCTTTATGCTAAAAATACAAATTTTGGACAAACTTCTGCGGATCAAAGATGACAAGATTTTGTCCTAAAAGGTTAACTTATGGTGATAACAGTGGTCGAGAT